CCTTGGACGGGAAAGACTGGAATTAGGAGCAGTCGAATTGACGACGGCACGGAATAAAACCATCATCACGATATAGGCCAAAATGATTTAGATTAATTATTATTATTTGTATTATTATTTGTATCATTATTATTATTATTATTATTATTATTTTCAACATAAATTATAAATAATTATTAACATGTGACCACTTTTTCACATCGCATATTGGCACGACGTTGAAAAACTGATTACATGTAATACACACAAAATACGCTCAATATGTCAGTATACCAACTGTTATTTAAACAAATTATTTATTATATATTGTATTTGCTTTTTATTTTTACAAACATGATTCAAAATATAGTTAAAATAATTTAGTAAATATAATTTTCATTCGTCAAACCAATCGAAAACCCATTTTATATACGAATTATAGTTATTTGTATTTTTGTTTTAACTAATAAGTATATAAACTTAAATATATATTATATATATATAATTAAAATAAAAAACATTTTGTATATTAATATTGTTTAATTACTGTAAAAATCCTAAAGTAAAAAGCTCGAGTCTATTAGAAAAAAAAAAAATTGTACTTTGTAAATAATATTATTGTACATATTATGTGTTTTACAATAAGAGTGATATTAACAACTGTATCAATGAACATTTTAACTAACATACCAACTGGGAGACATAAATGTCGCCAGAAGAAATTTGTTGTCGCCTAGTAGATGATATGTAGTGATTAAATAAATACTGGACAACAACGATTTTTTGGCAAAAGTGCAAGCGTTTGAAATTTGTACAATATAATTTGTTTAATAGTAATTTATTATGTTTAACTATGTTATTTTTCATTTTGTTTGATAATTTAAACTCGGAATTAGACATAATTAATGAGATTTTCTACATTGGAAAACTCGTGTGGCCGTCAAACCATTAACCATCATACATATAATTATTCGTAGTACAATGCAAAAAAGTAATCCAAGTAATCTATTGCACGCAACATGCGTCGTCTGTTAGTCACTCGTAGCAGCAAATATTTTATCCGTTATGTATAAATTAATTGTTTTAAATTTTATTTTTGTGCTGGTTCCTACAAGCTATAGCTATAGCTATTGACAGAGAAATTTACTTCAATTCGACGCTTGTATGATGATTTTGGACTTTCAATAATTACTGAAATCAAATATTATATTTAAACATTTGAATAAACGAATTATCATTAACACGTATTAAAAGTTGGACTTTTTCTCAGTCCCGTCACTAACTACCACCATATTATAACTCACATACTCACCGACAATAATTTATTGTACATTTATTTACGTATCCTATTAAATTAGGACTACCACTCGTATATTTCAACCATACTAGTTTATACTAACCGACGTTTGTTCGATTGAATACACATACAATTAAGGTGTACTATAAAATACAAATTTAATATGAACTCCATTAATAATACACCCAAAACTTTGTTAAATAAGCAAGTCAATTTTACACCAACTAAGCAACGTACAATTATCCGATGTGTAGAAAGTATTAAAATTCATCCAATCTTATATTTCTTAACATGATGGTATATTGAAAGGTATTCAAATTAATGTGCAGCCAGTAGAAGCTACTATATCGGGGTTTAATTAAAATTTGTCACAACTAAAGGAACTTAACTGAGTTCGTTCAACGCTGAAAACGCTAAGTTAACAACAGATATCAAGTGCCTAAACTATAAGATTGATTTAATAGAAAGCTGCAATAAACCATTATTGCCAAATTCTAATATGAACTTTAACACATTACGTTAAGCACAAAACAAGCTACTTAGATCGAAGAATATTTTATCTTTTAATATCCCAGACTCAGTTTATAAAGCTGACTAAAAAAAAGATACGAACATATTTCGCAGGATGGGTGGACCATTCATTTAGGTGAGAAGTTAGGAAGGTAGAGGACAAATTTAATTTATGTCTGTTCATAACGATTAACCATTGCTAACGAAAACGATTCTGAACCAAGTCCGGTGAATAATGTTGCTTTGTCAACTTTATATATGTCACATTATGATAAAATAATTACATAATAGGCATGATATATTATTATAAAATATCCTTAAAATTAAAATGTCTATAAAGAGCTCAAAAATGGCTACAATGTTTTGAAAATTTTATCGCGTCTGGAAAAAGTAAATATGAAATTTTAATTCAAACTTCAAGTCTCTAAAAATATTTTTAACTTAATCAAAACAAAACAAAACAAAAACAAAAATTGAAAACATAATACATTTCGTAAATATCCCCGTTTTTCCTACGGTTTTTTCCGGTTTTTCCCATGTTTTCTCTCTGTTTTCCCATTTATTATGAAAACAGCTGGAAAAATCAAAAAATGAACTCCTTAAAATGTCACCCTAATCAGATTTTCTTTCAGAAAAAGTGCTATAGGTACTTTAAAATCGGAGCAAATTTGCTGGTAGAAAATTTGTCTATAAAAAGAAATACAATGTTTTTCAGGAAGAAGTTACCGGCCGACATCATATGAAAGTACTCCAAAAATAATGGAGAAACACCCTTTAAAGTGAGGGTCCAAAATTTTTATTTTATGGGTTATTTAAGTTTTTTTTAACGAAACCATACCTATAATTTTTTTGTATATCTTCAAAACTTTTCGACTTATGAACCAAATTTTCTTTTTTATTTTATAGCTATTCTATTTTGCTATCAACCAAAAAATACAATTAAACAGAAATACACTAATTATTTGTCCTAAATTGAAAAAAGTGAACATTTGTTGTCAAACATTTTTATTTTTAAAAATAAATCACATATAACTCTAAATAATTTTTCTATTTATTACGGTTTTTTATTCTATTTTATTATTCTACTGAAAAATACCTGCAATACCATAAAAGTTTTTTTTTTCTTATCTTCCATCATTGTAGAGTTATACGCTGCTACACGTGGCTAACTTGGAATCTATTATCGGTCGTTAGTCTTAGAATTCTTGAAATCGATCATCGGTTTTCAGGTTATTTGAAAATCTTGGAGTACAAAGAGATCTGCTATTTACTTATTTAAATTTTAGTTGTCATGTTGTCTGTACTTTTGCTTCAACTAATAATTTGTAAATAAAATGCCAAGGTTATTTGATTTACCATTAGGTCGCATTACTGATATGCATTTTGTGCACGGATTTCATAATGGCAACACTCGAGCAAGAGTACAGGCTTCGATGTCCAGGAAAATATGTTCTTGGATACCGATCATTTATCAGAATTTACAGACACCTGGAATTCGTCAAGTTCCACATCCAATATTACACCCGGTTCATTACGATATCGTACTAAGCCAAATTGTTCAAGATAATAAAATAAAACATTGAATGAATTATAATTTTAACTTATTGTGATGCGTATAAATAAGTTTTATTTGAAAGTATGAAATGATCACATGTTGCAATATAAATTTTTGAATTAGTTTTAAAATGATTTTTAGTTTCTGCTGTGTAAGTAAAAACGAATTTTGTGCGTTGAATTTAAAACACAAATTAAGATATATTTTAATCTCGTTATGTATATATATTAATATTTATTAAAATGTATCTTAATACATTATTTGAAATTATAAAATTCAACTAATTTTATATAACTATCACAGATTAAGGTATCTTAATTTGTGGTAAGTATATTAAAGTACACTCAATAAAATATGAGTAAATACTTATATTATAATATGTACTTACTTAATAATTAATATATTTCTTGATAGTTTGATAATGTCGTGAGCATAACTCACATAACTGCAAAATAGTTTAAAAATGCGAAAATAATGAGATACCGAAGATTCATTTTTAGATTAAGTCAGCTATTTCCTGTATTATAGAAATATAACTTGTCTTAACCTTATCCGGTCAAATTTATTTACGATCTTAAGTGGGTACCAGTTGTCTAGTTTTTTTTACATAGATATTCTTTGGTATCTAAATACTAAGTGGATAAAATTGTCTAACCAAACAGAAATACTTGAAATTTTGTCACGAGGTTCATTATAATTTAAGTATTTAGGTACTTAGTTGTAAAAAAAAAGTTAAGTGTGATGTAGTAGTTTTTTTATAATCATCTTAAGATCAAACATTGATAAAAGTCGTAAATACTATGGTATTTCAAAACTTATATAACTAAACCTCGCTCCAAATCGTATTTCGTTAGCAATGGTTTATCGTTATTTACTTATATAAATTAAATAACTTTATGTATCCTATCTTCCCAACAATAGTAGTGCATCCATCAGCAGTATCAATTATTTTTTTTTTGTTATTATTTCCTCGATAATGGATTAACATTGAGCCAGTAATAATAATATTTTTAATCCGGCTTTGTTCTTTCTTATAAACCTATATTTTGATAATTTAATGATAACAAAATCATAATCTTTAAAACTATTAAGGTATTTAATTAGTCACTTATGCATCTGGAATTAATAATAAATTGACGTCATCACCCAACGTCATTATTAAATCTTTAAATAATATGGCAGTATAAAAGAGAGTATCGGTTTCGAATCTAGACCAGAGTAGGCGTAAATGTGGTACCTGTAATTAATATTCATGATTTTATAAATATATTTTAAGATTTCAACATAAAACCATAAACTTATAGTAGACTGAATTTATAATTATTATTAAAATATTATTTTGTTCAAATATATACAAATAAATAGTGATTATAACATTGACTTGGATAACAATAATAAAAATATCATCAATATTAAAATCTACTTTGTCTAAAACAAATTGTACTACTTGTTTGAAAACTTTGTACTCCGTAACACTGTGTTTGAAACAATTTGTTCAATAATCTGATTATTATTATTTTATTTTTAAAGGTAATTTAATTAGCAAAATTATTATATTCCTAATTATTTTCATAAGCTTAAAATAAGTTTAAAACAATTTTAATATTTTAGTCTACTTGAGTTCACCTGTTTATTCATAATTTTAATGATTATTTTTACAGGGCTGATGTCAAAATGAGGCTCAAAATAATCTCGACGATTATTTTCATACATTTTAGTTTCGTTTACGGAGATAATACGAAAAATGCCATGAAAATAACATTGCCAGCTTATGCAGTTGCAAATGAGTCATTTATTTTAAGTAATTCAAGTAGTTGTCGTAGAAATTTAGAAGTTTTTGCCACAGCTATAAACAACAGAGAATCATGGAGTATGAAAAGTAAGTAAAATCCTTAAATATATTTTTAGAAATGTTGAACAGAAAGTATCGAAATTCTACAAAAAAGAATCGGTGAAACCTGAGTAAATTGTTCTCATAAGTTAAACGTTATTTTATAGTATTACATTTAAAAATAAATACGTAAATTCTTCATATATACATAATATTATGTAATATATACATCGAGAAATCTCGGATATTTTCAGATAAGATTGGTTTTATTTGTGAAGAGTAAATTTACATACGAGTATCATTATAATAGAGAGATGGTAACTAGATGATAAAATTAAAATCATAACTAATTTTTTTTGTTTGTAAATCCTACTCGACTTATTTTGTCGCGAGTATTCCTCAATCATCATTGAAAATAGTTACATTATTACTGGATGAGATAGAAAATAAAAGGCCACCTGAGAGGGATGGGTATAGTTGTTCAAAAATAATAAGGATAAATAATATCGACCGAAAGCGTTATTTTTATATATACTAATTTTAAATTATTTATAATTTTTGAATATTGAATACAAATTGGTAAATATATTTAATTGTAATAAGCCTTACTCACCCATAGACGTAATATAATATGTAGACCGCACATTATACTTGTTTTGTGTAAAACACCTTGATGCAAAGGTATATGCAAGAAAGACAGACTCTAACTTAAATTGTCCAAGGAGTTTATCAATAATCTATACAATACTCTTTAAGATTATAAATATTTATTATTCATACTAGGGACAAAATAATGATAACAAAATTAATAAACAATGTACAAAATAAAAAATATTTAAAATGTTTTTATCATTTATGAATTTGTGTATCAATTACCAAGAAGGTTAAAAAATTGCATATAACCTTATTGAAAAAGTTAACTATGAGTGATGAGTCTGTATCGCTCACGCATATGTTTGCTTCAATATACTTCACTAATGCGTGGTCTGTATATTTTATGTCTATGCATTCATCGCATCTGAAATTATTTGTGATTATCAACATGACCTATCCATTATTTATTATCTATGGTTCTTCAGTGGTAGTACAGCAGAGTGAGGAACTAATAAAGTGTTATGTTTATAACCTTGTCAGTGTCTATCTATCCGTTTATTTGTTTCTATGCAATTTATCTCTCACATATGGTTTCGAACTTTGTAATGAGGTTTTAACTAAACGATTAATTAGGCTTTAAAGAAAGTTCCCATTGGTTTTCAGTTCAATCGGTAAAAATCGGAAACTTACGCTACTTCGATACTCCGATTTGTATAGATTTACTTATAAATGTATTTATTTATTTATAAATATATAATAATATAAAATATATGTACAATTTAAATAGTGCTAGATTCAAGTGGAATACCAAAACCTGGTTTTTATTATGGAAATAAATTTTGGTTGGGTGTCAAATCCCAGTGTCTTAGCCTTCATAATAACTATGTTGAAAATAACTATCCACCTTTTGAAGTAAATTATTTTGCTGCTTACTTTTATTACGATCTTGAAACAACAAAAAACGTAAGTTACTGCAAATATTCATAATAAATTAATAAATAATTAATATTATTATATTTACCTTTTAATAATTCTTCACAGATTTAAATGTTAGATTTCATTATTAATTTCAATTATAATATAATATATACTATACGATTTAAGGTGAAATTTCCTACATTTATCGTTGCAGAATGTATTGACGTTAGGTCTTTGTTTGCCAAACATTTGTACTAATGATGAACTGTCGTTGATCTTGAGAAAAATATTCAATGAACGTAACCTAATGATGAGTGACATTTATGAAGTTGATTATACATTTTTACGGGTCAGCGATCTCAAGACTAATTACCATTATCTTTTAAACTGGAAGTCAATCATAATCGAGTATTAAATTTAATTACCATTTACCTACCATATTATTTTTTTTATCAAACACTTTTTATTAAGTTTTCATATTTTTAGACTTATTATATTTTTTACTATATTGATGATGATATTCGGATCAATTTATGACGTTCGTCGTAGAAAAGGAATGAAAAAATTAAATAGTAGCAATGCAGTCCTCACTTACAACAACGGTTAGTTAAAAGTGGGAAAATAAGTGGTGTTTTTTTCTCTCTATTCATGTAACGTTGTTTTTTTTTTTTTTTTATATTCATAAATAGATTCACCAAGAAATTTAGTGATAACTAATAATAATATTTCCAACGATCTTAATAAACAAAAACAAAATATATTTGGTGAAATTGTATTATGTTTCTCTGTCTACACTAACACAAAATTATTATTGAACACCAAAAAAGGATCAGATAGTAGTTTAAAATCTATTCATGGAATAAAATTTATTGCGATGGTCTTTGTTATATTTTTTCACACTAAACAGTATACTGATTGTTCTGCCGGTAAGTCCATACACTTATTAATCATTATATTATTGGCTATTATTTACGGTAATTCTTTTATGTTAAATGCATAACTGCTATGGTACTATTTTACATGATTACGACCAGAGGCTCTATTCTCAAATTCATAAAAATATGATCCGTATCACGTAATTGCTCTTTTCATTTGATCAGAAAAAGTCGTATTTATAAAAGATATCTGTGTACAAATCAGTTAATTTAAGTAAAAAATATTCACACGTTTTCTTCGAATGAGGCTAGGCAACAAGAAACAATCTTCCGTACAGAAGATTCCTTTTATCCAATATAAAAAATTTGTATCTTAAAAATATATTTTACAGTAGTAAATATATATTTGCTTATATTCTGGGCATAGCGAGAGATATATTGGTTTTACTACGAAGTGTTTTGTTTTTATTTTCTCTTTGTAAATAACGTTTCGGCCAGAAATCTTGCTCCAATTTAAAATGACAAGGGATTTTTTTGTTACGTTTTAAATCTAGGTGGTGCATTACAGAAATCATTTTTTGATTATCTAAGTAGTTTTCATAATAGTTGAAAAAAACTAGAAAGAGACGTAAAATGAAAACTGACAAAAATTTACTGCGTTACGATTTCATTATTTTAACGTTTCACGAATTATGTTTTATACTAAAAATATTGCTCCAATCATAAAATGACAATAGGCCATTTGTGTTTTTGAAAAATTAAGACTTTTTTTTGATTTTCCAGGTAGTTTTTCAATAATTAGTTAAAACAAGAAAAAACGTAAAATTAAAACGAAATAATTTACGGCATTAGGTATTTTAAATTTATATTGTTTATGTTTTTCACCAGAAATATTGCTTTAATCAAGAAATATCCATAAATCTTTTTTATTAAATTTTGGATCTTTTTGATGAATAAGAAAATCATTTTTTCCGTGTACTGTTCTTTATAATTGAGCAAAACCGGAAAAAATAACGTAAAAAGAATGGGGAGGTTTACAGAAATAATGGTTTCATAATTTTCAATTTTAAATTCTGAGTGGAGCGTATTTGAAACGAAAATACCAAGGCAATTAAAATTTATTTTGCAATTACAAATTATTGCAATTAAAATTTGTCAAAACATGTTTGATATATTTTTGCTCAGAACAGTTTTTTGTTTTAACTTAATTTAATAGTAATGGTTTATTATCATTTGGTACAGATATTAATTCCCTTTTATTTCAATTATTTACAATTATATTTTACCTTTTCAGTTCCCAACTTCCCGCCCAAAACAATACATATAATCCATTGTACGAAGTGTGTTCATCTTTTTTTTATTTCCGATTTCCCTTATAACACGGAGGGGGGAAGTTGTCGAGCTACACTCAAAATCGGTTTATTTTCAATTATTTATCGTTGATTTATTATAAAGATATAAACTAAATTATTAAACTTTGCCAATTTTCCTCCTATAACAATAATCTATATTCGCGGTGCTAAATCTTTGCAGTTTTTTTATCTTTTTTTTTTTTGTATGTAGATAACACTTATTATTACACCAAAGGCACTACAAATTTACTTGTGGAAATTATTGATAGGAGCAGTCAGGCAGTTAATGTATTTTTTTTCCTAAGTGGTTTTCTAATTGTTTATAATTTGTACTCTCGAGAGATTAAAAATAAACTTAATGGAAAAGAACCAACAAAACCAACACTTTCTTCATTATTTGAGGCTCTATACAAAAGATACTTAAGGTAAATTGAAAAATAATTCCTATACAAATATATGGTTATTTAAACGTTTTTATCATTTGGGTTGGTTTGTATTCATTTCTTTTAACAAAAAAATACTATTTCAAGATTAACACCGGCTTATATGATGACGATGGGTATCACATATATATGTTTTTCTCATTTTGACGACGTATCACAGCTTTTTATTCCTACGAATGTTAAGTTTCATCACAGTTTGATTTACGGCGGTAGTAAAGAAAATTGTGATAACTATTGGTGGACTCATTTGCTGTATATCAACAATTTGTTCAACTTTAATGAAATGGTAATACAAATATCGAATTAAATTTAAATTTAATGTATTTTGTATAATTATAATTTTCATTTAAAGTGTATCACATGGGGTTGGTATTTGGCAAATGATATGCAATTTTTTATAATCGGATACATCATCACAACCTATTCTGTAGTGTAAGTTAATAATTGAATGTAATTCAATAAATTAAAAATGAAATGTAAACTATTAAATACAATCTGGAATATCAATTGAAATCTAATCAAAATTATTTTTTTAGTTACTTTTACTCGTCTGCTGCATTCTGGACAATTCTTATGGTTTCTACAACTATCGTCAGTGGCTACGTATCATATTCACGTGATTATTTTCTATCGTAAGTCAATAATATTATATTTCCTGTACTTGTACGGTGATATTCAACTTTTTTTTTTTTATTATTACAGACAATTTATTTCCATGTCAGAAGAAGATTTGATGTATAAATTACCGTGGATGAGAATTGGACCCTATCTAATTGGAATGGCTGTTGCATATTACCTTATTCAAATGAAAGATAAAATCAATTTAAATAAGGTAAAAATTGATCTAATGACAATTGTTTCAACTTAAGTAGTCAATATTTATGTCTACTGTGTCTACAAGTGTAGCTCGGTTAAAAATAACTTGCTAAATATTTTCAAGTGATGGATATGAATACCTATATTTTGACGACAAATAAAAATCACATTTTTCGTTTTCTTAGATAAACATTTGGATACTTTGGATTTTGGCACCAACTGCTTTGATTGGGTCAATTTGGTTTCATAAAACAGAGTTTTCTATACTTGAAATGGCATTTTATGTTGCAGTATTTAGATCAATTTGGGGATTGTCGATTGGCTGGATTGTGTTTGCTTCAGTTACTGGTTATGGAGGTAATATGATTAAATATTTAAAAATGTTAAATTATCATTATCATCACTAAGTACATTAATAGCATTGTAATATTTGTCTTAATTTATATATATTTATATATTATATAATAATAATTAAGTTCGTTTTATTAACTAGGTTTCGTAAATACATTTTTATCACGCGAAATATTTGTTGTACTGGGTAGACTTACCTACTGTGCCTACTTAGTCAACCCAACCATCGTATTTCTATCATATTTTGATGCTGATGAAGCAATCCATGCTGATATAATGTTACAAGCAAGTTTATTTAAAAAATATTATCGAAATTAATCATATTTCAGTAGCATTTCTAATTCAAAATTCAATTATTTTTTTTACAGTTGCCAATGTTTTTGGGTATTGTAGTATTGACATTCTTTGGTGCCTTTATTTTTTATCTGATGTTTGAGACACCATACATATCATTGTTGAGAGTGTTAACAACTAAATCAAAATATAAATAATAAAAATGGAAAAAATACATTTTAGTAATTTTTCCATTATTGAAGTCATTCGTCTTATTTATTAAGCCTTATTATTAGACATAAGTTTTTTTTATTATTATATACATTTCTCATGACTGTTTTTCATAAGCATTCATTTTGATGTTAATTTATTAACTATTAGTTTTAAAGAATAACTTCCTAAGGTAAAAAATAATACAAATAATTAATAAAACCACATAAGAATTATTCATTTCTTTTTCCTAATCCATAGGCACCTTCTATATTATCTACCATATCTTCACCTATAACATCATTCTAACTACCCATTATTATAAAGTTTCCATTTCCTTTGACCAGTTCTATTAATTTATCTATATTTATATATATATAATATCTCCACTACAGAAATCTCCAGGTTTAGACCATCTCATTTCTGATATTTTAAGAATACTAATTCTAATCCTGGCCATTTCCATTTTTAAGTTTTCCAATTCCCCACATTGTAGTAAAGTTCTTACCTTCAAAGTTGCTATACGTTTGCAATCTTTCACATTTCTTTCTCCTTAAGTAGATCCGAATGAGAAAGTATTTTACCTCCGGAATTTTTTACTTGAGAAGAATTCATTACCGATTGCCGTTACTTGAAATGTTAATATGGTGGACAATTTGCACACAGAATAAAAAAATAATAATAATAAACCATTGCAAAATCAATTCCTCGCTACGCTCAAAACCTAAAAATTTGAAAAAAGTCGCTTAATCATTGATACTTCTTGATTACTTCTCTCACAAACAAAAAAAAATAACTAGAAACTGTCTATACGAGACTCTTATAAAACGGTCGATATTTAAAATTGTTATAAGGTATATTTTCGCCTTGTATTTAAGCTGTGTATGCAACCTTTATGATAGTGTGTGATTTCTTATAATTTAGACTATTTCATTAGGGATTTTTATTTTCAAAGTTGGTAGTAAACAGTACAAAATTACCATATACCTCCAACCGCATCCGTACGTCTGGCAACATCGCGAATTAAGATATACAGAATACCGAACGAACGTGTGATAAGTGAAGCTCGAACCTTCTCACTTTTGGCAAGGGTACTAACACTATCTAGTGCACTCTTAACAAATTATGTCAATATGTATTTTAAAATAGATATGCAATTTATTACATACCCTACTCCTCCAATCTAAACTTTAAACTGGTTTTAGTTGATTTTTATACCAATTTTGCCTTAAAGCGCTAGCTGTCGTGCCAAACAATGAGAACCGGGCGGACTCAGAAAAGCATTGATAAGACCTTTCCGTTCGATATCCTGTGTATCGGGGACAGCACTAACTCAGTCACTAAAAAGCGTCTTCTATGTTTTACCGCGGCATAAACGTGCATAGCTTATCTATAATAATATTAAGCCGAATTCCCACAGCTGGTATACTTGCCAAATACGCCGACAATTGACTATTTGATCAGTGAACGATTAGGGTGTTTACACGACTGGAGTACTTAACAAATACGCCAATACTTGAGCACTTGTACAAATAGCCACGTACACCATTCCCACGGCTGGCTGTATAGCAATAATACATAATTAAATAAAACTGTTTTTCCTGGTCCACACGAATTGACCATGGGATCACAATTACAAGTGTATTGGCCGTTCCTTTGACTCGTGTCACATTTACCGACAATCCTCAGGAAAAGCACCAGTGACCAATAATTGTACATATATACTGATCCGGCAACATGACTAGCAACCGCCAGTGCCAATTATTGGCCAAGTACACCAGTCGCGGGAATACGGCTTAAGAATTTGATCTGTCTTCCAGCATGGGTATTTCTTTAATAATTTATATGTAATTAAATTTACAAACATTTATCAACATTTGACTGTTTTGTTGAAAAATGTTGTTTTTATATTCAAAGAAAATTTCCTTGTATTAAAAAGATCAAGTACTTTTTTAGTTCAATTGTTTTTTGTTAAACTGAAATCCACAAATTATCTGTAAAAAGCAGGCAGTTATCATCAGCATACGTTACAATTTAACTATTTATATTTAAGTCACATACTCACATATATTATTTATATATAATATTATAAAAAATAAAGGATCAATTCCACTATCTTATAAAACTCCACACATAATTTTCCATTTTTGACCTAACACTTCATTTATTTTAACAATTTGTTGCTTATCTGTATCCATTTCAGACTAGCTGCTTTGATCCCAAAACTAAGTAAAATTTTAATCAGCTCGTTACAATTTACCGTATCAAATGCTAAGTCTGCGAAAACTGCTAAGGTTTTTCTAACATTGTCAAGACCGTTATATATACAGTCTGTTTCACAAAGATATACCCCTTGAATATCCCCGGAGATCATAAAAACAATCAAATTCTGTATTTTTTATATTACTCGCTGGGATGAGGACTATAAATATTTATATTTGTATTAATTTTTTTTTTTTTTAATAAAAAATTACTTTTCATTTTATTATTTTTGGAAAATTTTCAGGCAACCATTCTGTAGAGTTTATTTTTCTGAAAATTTTAATGTACCGCACATTTGTATCCGATGAATAGTTTCTGAGTAACGGCTGTTTTAAATTCCACTAATCCGTGTGAAAACCGATGTCATTGCGTAACGCGATCAGATTATCCCCTGGACAGATCGTTCCCTTTTCATAATACCATTAAAACCTAAATTGGATATTCGGACTTCGGGTGTATATTTTACACAGAGTTATACATATGGCCTGTGTTGTTACAGTCGCGGACACGAAAAACGAGCGTTGAAAAAATTAACATACGAAAAACGAAAAATTTGCAAAACCACGACCCGTCGTTCGTAGCCGCCGTTGTAGCCAACGGTTCGCGACACCGTACTGTCGCGCCGCTACCGTTACTCGTATTACTCGTATACGAATAACGAATGCTGACGGGATATTATTTTGACAACCGCTATCGGAAAACTGCCGCTTTGCGCGTGACGGTCAGCGCTCGTTTTTCGCGTCACGCACAACGCCGATGCGATTATACTGTACACCGCTGTAATGCGTTTCACGAGATCAGAGACCCGACCGTAGCGCGACCGATGTTCGAAAATTTGGATGTCAGTGTTCCAAATTCGCGATACTTTGTATACTAAGCGCCGCGTGTGTGGCATTTCAATTTACGCGCGCTTTTTGTAGTTCGCATACTGAATGCCCCTACTCGTGTTATCGATCACCAGTCGAGTCACTAATTTCATGAAACACACTACGGTCGCCGGCAAAGCACGCGCATTAAAAGCTATTCGCCTGGTGACTCGTCGCTAACATACGCGTCATCGACATTATATGTATAATCCATAAGCTGTGGCTATATATCCATTGTGCACGATCAAAGACGCGCACGTCGATATTTTTATCGTTAATACGGTACCATTGTTTTGTCGTCAAAATAATCATTGGTTCATAATCATGTCATTCGGTATACTGTATACTGTCGGGCTCACGAAAAGTGGCGGCTGACCGCTGCCGTACCCCGAACCGCGCCCGCCCTGTAGACAGTGGTTCTCATTCTATTGTTGCGTTCCGGAACGGCGGCGACGCAGCACGAACTATTGGCGCTATTGTTCATTCTCAAACGTGTGTTCAGTGTTTGCTGTGTACACGTCGGTTTACTGTCGTAATACGTTACAAATATATTCATTAATAGCATTCGCAAATTCGCAATTACACATTATAATTATATATTCACTTGTGTAGTGATTTTTTTTTTTATTCTGCTATTCTATTGTATTGTATTTGTTATTATTATCATTTATAATAAAAAAATATTATAAGATAGAACCTTCGTTCAAATTTTAATCGAATATTAAATAATCAGATGGTTAAACGCGTTGATACGTAGTGTTGTGATTATAATTCACGATACGTATTATCACTTAAATACAATTTAGAGGGAAAATAGTTCATTTTAAGGTTATTATAGTTATAATTATATAATATATATACAGACGTATTTGAACGAGCGCGGTAAATTATACTGTTGTTTGATAACCACTGCAACAAATAGTTCGCTTGGATCGTGGCGGTCGGCCAACACTTTTCGTGAGCCAGACTATAAGCCTTGTAAGCAGTAGTTCAATTTTTAGTACACATATTGAGTAGCCCTACTGATTATGGACACCAATCACGCCGCAGTCGAGTCTTTAATTTCGAGAAACGCAGTATGTCTATCTAGAAACCGGTTACTACCACAGCGACTCTATTATTATAGGCAAGGCCTAGTATACGGTCTATGATTACAACTCTGATATTTTATTATGTAGGTAGTGATAAGACTGATAACAGTGCTTTACGCATGTACAAAGGTAAGATACCCTCTTGATATGTTGGCAACACGTTTTATTGCTTAAAGCTCTGTTCACTGTACATTTGTACATGATCTAAGATATTCTACTTATATAATAACGATATAATTTATATCTTTAATCTAATTTTGTTTTACTCGTAAATTTATTTATTTATATTTGCTATTATTATATACCTATATGACATTATAATTAAAATCATAATTTTTATACTCTATAGTATTATGTTCCATTTTTTTAAAATTACAAAATAATAACATTCAAAACTGTAGCATTCGTGGGTATTGGTAACACTGTACTCAAAATTTTTTAACATTCGTGTAGGTAATTTATTTGATGATTATTATTTTCCATCATAGGTGTTCAAAAATTTTAGTTTACGTTTACAACAGTTAAGGAGTATAAAATATAAAACATTTTATCAGAAATCTCAATAATTGTTTATGTGTATCGATATACATCTGTCATCTAATAATTTATTTTAATTTGAAACAAAAAAATATTATTGGTTCAATATTTCATCAACTATGTCAGCGCACGACCAAATGAGAGCCATGTTAGATCAGCTTATGGGCACTGGCAGAAATGGTACCTAATAAAAGTGAACAACTTTCTACAAGGACATTATTATATTAGTTCAATGTACTATTTGCAGGAGAAACAAGTAGATACCAAGTGCAGTTCAACGATACAAAAGTCTGTAAGAGTTTCTTATTGTATTGCTGTCCGCATGATATATTAGCATCTACCGTAAGTATAACCATGCTTATTTTATCTATACTTAAATGAATCATTTTATATACTTGAATATTTGGTCGTTAATAGGGTTCTTTTTTGTTTAGTTTAAATGAAAAATAACGTAATTTTAATTAAATATATTATTTCTTTTTTCTTATAAATAAATTGTTTAAATCATAAATAAAATATCTGTATGTACCTAGGCATCTAATTAATTGAATATTAGGAATATTTGACATTCAGTTCATAGTATGCTACCCAAAAATGTTTTATTTTATCAATACTCTACTTCAAATTCCTTAATTAGGAGTCTACCTCTTAATTTTAATTTTTTAAACCACATCTCCATTCCGTGTTAGCACCGACAAATACATCATAAACACTAGTCCAGTGGTTCTTGAAGTGAGTGGTACCGCCCCCCCTAGAAGGCATTTTAGTCCCTCAATTGAGCGGTAGGTATTAATGGAGCGTTGAGCTTTTAAATGCAGAATGATAAAGCACCAGCGTCCTGTGATATTATTGCATGTGAAATCAGAATAGTTGTGTACAGGTCCGATTTAGGGTTTAGGGTTGTGGAGCCCAGGACCAAGATTTCTATAGTTTAACATACAATTCTTGGTATAAAGAAAATGAAGACCAATAAGAAAGAAAAAAGGCTAGTAAGACAATTACAAACTTATAGGCTATAAACAATTGGGAGGAGGGGACGTTATTAGCCAGTTGTTCTTGGTGAAGAAGTGCTGAAATGAAAAAGGTTAATAACCACTGCACTAGTCCCTTACATGTTTATCATAGTTTTAATTTTGATTTAAATTTGGATGTTATTTAATAACTTCAAGGACTATATTCCTTTAGCAATTTACTAAATCAAACTATTCAGTACATGTACATGTATGTAATTTGTATCCTAGTCTGTCCATATAGTCTGACCAATAGTTGGTAGCATACTAAGTGAATGGTCAATATTTAATTTTATAAATATTACCTATACTCATATAAAATTATAAATTACAAAATAATTGTTTATGCAATACAATTTATAATTTAATTTAAATTCTGTTATTAACAGTTTACACTTAATCTCTTACCAAACAAAGCACAATTGATAACCATAGGTTAAAAAAAAAAAAAAAATTAATGGAAAAACTGATGAACTATAAACTTTTAAACAGAACAAATTAAATAGTGCCTACAAATGATTGAATTAAAATTATTTTTGATCAAATAATTTATTTATAATTTTTCACACAACATATCACAAGAAATTTAAAAAAAATTATAATTTTATAGAAATGTTTCTTGCCTAGGGTGGAGTAGCCACCAATGGCTACCTTAAGATTTTGTTTTTATTAATGTTTGATTTAATTTAATTAACAATTTAAAACTAATCCATAAATACATTTTAAGTTAACCAATACTTAGTTTAAATTTTAAAATTGCTTTCTCTCGTTGTATGGTCATCTGTGTTTTCAACTATTTTTCTTATAATTAATACTACCCAGTAAATTAATATAGTAATGTAATGTAGTTACAACCAAATTCAATTTGAGTGGCCATAGATGGCAACTTCACCCTACCTACTCATTTTAACATTTTAATTGGCATTACAGTTAAAACAAATTTGATTACTCCTAATGTGTTTCTTAATTTTCAAAGCAAAATACTCTTATTTACAATTTTGTATTTATTTATATATTTTTTATTATAACTGCTATTTTTTTTGAATATACCATACATTATATTACAGTTGAATCCGCTTAATGTGGGTTCACGTTGGGACCAGTTACATTTGCAACAATAAGCGGTTGTTCATAACCGAAATGAATTTCGTTATACATTAGAATCGAGACCAGAGCATTATGCCCATACTAGGCGGCTGTCCTCATAAACCGGTAGCCACATTTAGCGGAATCCACTGTTTATAACAAACATACATAGGTATAGATTACCAGCTTCTGAGGAGGTTACGCTTCTTAGATTTAATAATAATGCAGTACTTATATTATCAATTCTTTCTCAATCATTACTTATGTACAAATAATCTTTTTATATGGACAAAGACATAGTTTGTCATCATTAATCAATCATGTTACACTTACGTACATTGTAAATAATATAAGAATAATATTCTAGTAACAATGTTAAAAGAGAGAAAACAAAATACATTATCTGATTTGTTTATAAATTAATTTTTTTACTGTCTGTCTTTTAAATGTAAACGTAAAATTCTGGTTTTAAATAAATGTCTAAAAAGCTTTACTTATAGTTTAAAAATAATTGATGCAGTTTTTAAAAGGGTTAAGGGATCCTATAAAATAACCTTGGAAATCAAATCTATGTATGTATAAATGTATATTATATTCATAAAATACAATATTATTTCTTAAAAATTGATGTGAGTAAATTTCTCCCCTCCCCCAAGTACGTTTTAAAAAAAAAATACTATCCATTTTGTTATTATATTTTATTTATTATTACTTCATTGTTTTATACATTATACATTACAAATTACTAAGTATTAATTTGTATAATTTAAAATTGATCTAATGATAAGTTTTATTCTGATTTAATTTTGCCTAGGGTTTTTATTTATAAGTGGTATATTTTGGGCCAGTATTACAATCATTGATTATAACTCCAGTTATGTAATGATCCAGACATCCAGATGACTGAGGCTTACACATTTACGGTTTATTATTATAAAATGAGTATTACAATATTGGGTCTGTGTCAGTTTAGTAGCCCCACTGTATTTATAGTAATATTATTATTCTTTGATAATAATTTAATTACATTTTTTAATAGGCAATGTGTGGAATAAATTCTCTAATACAATACAGGAATATATGGATGTTAACAGAAATATTTTTGCCTGTTTCATTATGTACAGCAATAACAAGTTGATTCACATCCTAAATTCTAAGTATATTGACTTCTTAGACATAAAAATTATTTCAAACCCATACTGGAATTAAATGGCTAAAATCAAAATTGATAATGAACTTTCAGCAAAAATAAAAATTATGCAAGGTGTCAGGCAATGATGTATACTGTTCCCATTACTATTAATTTAATGAAAATAAAAAGTTGTTACATCAATATTTTCAGAAAATTAAACTCTATAAAGTAGCTATCTACAAATTTTTCAAAAAATAATAAAATAAAAAGTTTTTTTTTTATGGTTTTTATCATAACATAAAAAAAATAATTACAATATAAATATTTGTAATCCTTATCATTATGATTAATACAAAAATAAAAACAATTTGATTATCTTTATTATGTCCAGAGATATTACAATAGGTATATTTTCATGGGACACACTGTATATAATATTGAATCAAAAGAGCAAAATATGATTATTGTGATGTGACTCTGGCATCAAATATAAGTTGTACTGTATGTTTTTATCTGTAACATATTTTTTGAAAATTAATCTTCTCTGCATACTTGAAAATGGTCGGGTTGTTCATAAATAAATCTTGTGCTCCTATAGAAAACCACAAATAACGCAAATTGCATAAAATCCCTTTTTGCTTCATGCTCATAGAAGGTAGGTAATTTAATAAATAACGAATGTCTATACTTTTAGCAATACTTTCATAGCTACATAGATAATATATGAATCACAATTTCAAATGTATTGGGTTTAATTTTGATATGTAAGCAAAGTACTAAAAATCACCAAAAAAAAAAAAAAAATCAACAACCCAATCAGATACTTTAAACACCCAGTCACATTTAGTTAACCAGCTAATATTGACTGGTAAGCATAATCAGCACTAGGCATGTGCCGATATATATCAATTAATCGATATAATTAAGAAATAATATATGTATCAATATATCTTCAAAATACCATGAGTGTATGATTTGCTTCTTCATAATGTATATCGATTAATCTCAATAATCAATTATATTTTAACATGATCAACTATTGAATCTAACAAATAACTATTGCACAGTTCTAACCAGCACATAAGGGTTATAATAGACATAGAAGTTGTAATACTGGTTTTTCCTTTTTATGAACCGTTAAATACCAATCGGTGCATAACCTATGATTGTGGTACCAGCCTTTATAGTTTGTAATAAATATCATGTTAATTTAATTACTTATTTATACAAGTTTTGACTAATCAAATAAATTAAGTAAAAATTAAAACCATTGTTTTTTTTTTAAATTATACCTATTAATATTGTATTATGTACTTTATAATATATAGATATCCGTAAAATTTAAATAAAATAATTTAAATATTTAGATATTCAGTAATAAATAATGATAAAAATATGTTTTTTCAAATATTTGAATTAAATTGTATTAGGTAATGTGAGAGATGATTATAATATGATAAATGTGCTTGATTTTAAACAAATTTGTTACACTCCTGACAATTTTGACGGTTTTTTCATAAGTATTATTATTATTAATCAGTTTAAACCTTTCTGTAACGACCAATTTTATCTAAATACGAGTTATAAATAATAACCAACATGTATGTAGTATTATCAAAGTCGGAAAAATCGTCTTTTATTGTGAGTATTTATATATATTATTAGTTCATTTATATTATATTCATTATCATATAATTATTATATTTTTGTAGTATTATTAGTATTAGTATTTATGTATTAGTTAAATTTACATATTTTTATATACATACTAATTTTTATAAAAATCAAATTTGTCATAATTAACACAATACTTCAAGAAAACCGTGAGTAAACAATTCATAGGTCTTTTTTATTATGTAAACGTCGTCAATATTCGGAAAAAATTAAACAAATGAAATTGTAAACTACTAATGTAGCTATCTTAATAATAAAAAGAATACTTTAATTTTATAATTTTAATTAACATTAATTGTATGTATAATTTCTCAAATTAAAAATAACGAGAATCTATCAAAAAAAAAATTACATTTATTAAACCTTAGATTATATTTTAAGTTTTTATTTGGTTCATTCCATAAATAATAACATTTTAAAATGAATTAACTGACAATAAAATAAGAATTATATTGCTTTATGTTTAAAGACTTTTATTATGTTTATATTAGTTATCTATATTTATAACCTTAAATTTTTAGTATATAATTCTAAAATGTAATAATTACTGTGAAGCAGATACTCAATAAACACGTTTCTATAATTTTAAAAGGGGTATATCAAATTTGTTTATTCCATTTATTATCTAATTGTAAATTCAAATTTGATTTTTAATATCTGCTTCTGTGTAATAAAAATTATATAAATTTATATTGAAACATTTATACTGTATGGATAGATTTTTGTTAGTAAAATATTTAAATTTCAATTAGACATACCTTATAACATATACAGTTAATTTGCTTAAGGGAAAAAAAAAAGAAAAAATTATTGAATTTGATTATGATTCTTCTTTTGCGTTTTTTTTTATTATTATTTATTTTTATTTTTTTTAAAAAAAAAAGTTAGATTTAGGGAAAATTTTCTTTAACTTCTTTATTGTTCATTATTCTTAAAAAGAACTAAACTACGAAGCATACAAAGATATCTACAAACCTTTTGTGAGTAGTGAATAATTATTTCTAAGTTACCAATATTGGTATCATACCTACCAAAATAATTCTGAAAAAATAGCTTCAGCGAAGACAGTACGTACATCAACTCAGTTAATTTACGTCTATTTGAATGCGATGTTTTACTCTTAATCCTGATTATTGTCACCCTCTCTAGGAATAGTCAAAAACGAATTGTGTTTTGATTCGTTTCAAGACAATGATACAAAGATGGGGAAGATGTTCGCCATCAATGCGTCAATGTGGGTGAGCAAATTGTAAATGGTCGTCTGTCTGTAAGTCAAACAATTTTGAGACAACGACAGAACTATCTGTTACAATACATTAATTATATTTTCATGCTTAATGTTATGTTATATTATTTATATTTATTTAACATAATTCATTCAGGCCATTTACCTTCTTAGAGTGAGCAAGTGTAAGTTTTGAGGTTGTTAAGTACTCGCTACGTAAGTCATCAATTAATATAACATTTTCCCTGTATTATGTGTATACATTCATTTTTCCAGGTTAACCTGATGTTGTTCCATGTAAATCCTGAATTCCTCAATTTGTTTGAAATACTTTATAAACTTAAGTTATTTATTATTTCAGCGCATGGACATTGGTGAGTGTCCAAAAATACACGATAATGCACTAAGAGCAGATTTTGAAAAAGCCCAACAAAAGTTTGACCACTATTATGATGTTGACGTAAGTTTTATACAATTTTGCATTTTAGATTCTGAGCAAGAATGTATTGGTTTTATAATATATTTTTTTTTTTTCAAGTATATCACTTTTTCTAAAAAAAAATCTGACTGGGGAGGTATGTTTTTGATTTTCCCTGGGATTTTCATAATAAATTGAAAAACTGAGTGTATTATTTTAAAATCTTAATTACTACGACCTTTCAAAACATGTGTAACCAAACTTTGCTTAAAATCGTTTTTCATTTGTAAAGATTGATCATTGTTTACAGGTATATATTAAATTCTCCTTTATATCCTATCTTCCCAACTTCTCACCTACAACAGTGGCTCATCCGTCCTACAAAGTATATTTTTTTAATTGAATCGTGATACTGATAATAATTGTTTGTAATATTTTTTATTTCTAAAAGCCCTTCCTTTTTTATATGCATATATTATTATAATATAATGTATTCACTTATATATACTTTGTTTCAATAGGCTACTGAACATTTACAAGCATTTATTAGTGACTGTGACCGGAGGACAGAATCAGCCCGTAAAAGATTACTTGAAACTCAGGAAGAACTTACTGCTGAAGTAGCTGAAAAAGCAAATGCTGTTCATGAATTAGCTGAAAAAATAGGACAAACATTGGCTAAAGCTGAAGAACTAGGTGCCCAGGGTTTGGTGGATGACAGTCTTAAATTAATGGGAGAAGTATGTTTATATTACTTTTATTAATTATTAATAATAAATGTTTTAAAATAAATTAATAAAAATTAAGATCGAAGAACTACGTAAGAAGAAATCCGAAGCGGAAGATACTTACAGGAATTCAATGCCCGTAAGCAGTTATCAACAGCAAAAATTAAGAGTGTGTGATGTATGTTCAGCTTATTTAGGTATTCATGATAATGATAGAAGATTAGCTGATCACTTTGGTGGAAAATTGCATCTAGGATTTATTAAAATAAGAGAAAAACTAACTGAACTCGAAGTAAGATTAATCATTTTTACTAACACAAACATAGTATCTAAAAAAAGTGTGTATTATACAGAAAAACTATGAAGAAAGACACGAAGCTCGTCGTAAATTTGATGAACAAGAACGTTTTAAAAAGGAAGATAAAAGAAGTCATAGATCAAGAAGTACAGATCGAAGTGATCGTCACCGACGATCTAGGTTAATATTTTTAATTTATTTTGCTCATAACATAAATATGACGGTTTTTACATATATGTTAACAGATCACGCAGTCGTCATAGTAGACATCGTTCACGTAGTCGTAGTCGAAGTCATAAACGGGATAGAAGAGATAGAGATAGACGTCGCTACTGATAATAAATTGTATTACTATTTCACTGACATAATAATTTTTTTTAAACATATTTTTTGTGTTTTAAAAAGTAAAATTATAAACTTGTAATATTATATTCCAAGGTAGTAAAACAAATGTAAAACTGTTCAAAAATATAATGTGTATATGTAATAAATTTTCACACTGTGATTTTATTTTGTCTCCATAAATGCGGAAATCAATTATTATTTACTATGACAATTAAAAATGTTATTATTTAATAAAGGGAATTAATTAATATTAATCATTTATTTTGTAATCTATTATATAAAACTTAAAAACTTATCAATGTATATTAAATATAAGAATATAATTATATACGATGCAAGTAAAAAAAAAATACAATAAAAATTTTATTTTCATTTTACAAAAATATGCAATATTTAATTTTCAAGTGGTGTTAATTAAAATAACAAAAACTAAAATACATTGTTCGATAAAAATCTCATGGTCCCTAACAACAATTAATTAAAAATAATATTTTTCCAAATAACTTCCAATTAGAGACCTGAGTAGTTAAGAGTTTGATCGAATTATAACTTTGGCACCATAAAATAAGTAGTCTAAATAAAATATTATTTATATATACATATATATGAATACATACATATGTGTGTGTGTGTGTGTGTGTGAGTATGAATAAATATTAAGTAATCATTCAATATTAATGAATATTACAATAATAATAATAATAGTAGTAATACAAATGAATAAATTGATTTGGCATATTAAAATTAAAATTATTCATATTATATATGTATATATAAATATATAAAAAAAAAATTATTGAAATAAACATATTAAATGTATACCATATTTTGTAAGCAATTTAAATTTAGTTGTTATAAATGTATAACTGATAATGAAATTCCCTGTAAATCAGTTGTCCTTCCAGTCTTTTTTTATCTCAAATACCCATTCCCATTTTAAATGTTCATTTTTATCATCATCAGTAAATAAAGAATGAACTGTGTATGAACCGCGTGCCATCAAACCACTAGGAGCGTCTTCAGCTGGTGTTGTATAACTCTGTATTTCCATTTTTGGTGGGTATGATCCCACCATATGGGTCATTTTATCCACTAAAACAAACAACAAAATAATATGATTTAAAACAAAGGAATGATTTTTAAATTATTACTTATTTACCTTGAACTGTTTCGCAGCACAAACAAATACAGTTTACCATTAATGAAAATAGTTATTAAAATTATATATCAGAGGGATAACTTAAAACATGAATGATAAATCAAACAAACCTAAATTCAGTCATTCAATATTTACGATTATACATAAATATTGTTTAAAAATATTATGTACGATTTAATTCATTCAATAACAAAATATTAAAAATATTATAATATCCCAAAGCCAAGACATTAACGAAACTATATTTTTAATTACCATTTATAGTTAATAATCATGATTAGGAAAATATATACCATAACTCTGTAGACATGGGAGTCAATTTTAAATTATACAGTGTCCATTGGCCAACCAATATCATTTCTGTATTTTTTGTTTATAAAATATGTTAATTTTACATTTATTTTATTTTCAAGTAACCACAAACAGCAACCTCTCCTTCTTTTTCTATTTAATTTATCAATATGTTAAATTATGTAATGTTCGACTAAAAAATAAGTTTGTTTATTATTGTTAAAATTGCACTTTATCAGTTTAGTTAAGTCTATTTCTATTATAGGAATTAATGTTTTTTAATATAAAACTCATTTGGCGTAAACAAATAAAAAATATAAAATAAGCCTGTTTTTGATAATTATATTTTTGCACAAAGGAATTCCGTTTTGCACTAAACAGTATTATTTCATGTACTATAATTTAATACTTTTTTAATATACACTTGCTGGCTAATCATTCTCAGTCACATCCAACCATCTCTTTTTCTTCAGTATTTCTCTGCATTTATTTCCTCTTATGTTTATTTTCATTTAAACAAGTATACAAGTGATAAAAATATTTTAAACCTTTCCGGGATCTGTGTATGTACTAACTGCATTACAGAAAAATTATTGCAAGATCCTAATATTAACTTAACATTAGTACCAACTTTCTAAAACACAATACTAAATTAAAAGATATAATGAAAAAAGAAAACCAAATTCTGTTTTAGTTTAAACCACATTCAAAAACATCATTAAAATAAGTCTATCACATTGATTAAAAATATAGCTGATGTATAAAATCAAAAACTTATGTTTCTTTTTATTGTCTAATAAACAAATGGAACTATGACTATTTCTTTGTACTTCACATTTTCACATCAAAGTATATAACTTCTTAAATGTTAAAAAATTAGCAACAATGTTTATATCACGTTTCTTACAAAGAAATGAATATTTCTCAACACAAAAAAAAGAATCAAAGCAAATAAATTCTTTGTAAATGATGCTAACACAACAAATTAAAAAAATAAACATGACACATTTAAAATTCATATAAAAGTTTTATATCAATAAATAATAACTATTTTAATCAGTAAGCACTTTATTTATACAAATTATTTTCAACTTTTAAGTTTTAAAATTACGTCAAGTTCAAATAATAAATGTAGGGATTAGGAATGACATTATTTCTATACTTTAAACAACCATACCAATAATAATTCTTTCTTAAAGTTGTGCAGTAAATAAATAATGTAATAGTTAAAAGAATTCTTGAAAAAAATCATATAATAACATAGTTAAACCAAAAATAAAAGTCCATAGGATTTTGATTAAGAAATTGATTTATGATAAATACTCAATACATAATATAAAACAATTATATTACTAGAAAAAATTATTCAGTATTATTACTGCATTTACCCAAGAATAATAATAATTAAAATAAAATTTTGATATATTATGTATATTTAACTAAAAATGTTTTCCTATCCCTTATTCTCTCACTCCTAGATCAGATTAGACCATATTTAATATTTTAAATATATGTATTGACTGTTAAACTGTATCACCTGAATATTCACAAAATGAGCAATTCATAGTATCTTTATTGTTTATCTTATACATAAAAGCCATGATCCAGCAATCTATCTATATCACATTGTTGTTTATCATAGGAATGAAATATAAAATATTAAAATACCTAACCTATCATGTACAATGAACAAGGAACTAAAATTTAATAATCTTGATCCTCAGAATATTTCTTTTAATCTATTTATAAAATAATTTAACTATTTACAATTATTAGCTTATAACAATAAATCACTTGCATAATGTATACAATATTGTATTGTAATACAAATGGATATTTTACATGAACAGTGTACAAATTATGCAAAAATAATCTATTGTTACATTTTGGAAACTAATATTATGCATTCTTCCAGAAACTATGATAATAGGCATATTTCAATGAGTGTTTCCTATTATTTGATTATGTAAAAAAACTAAAAAATAAAATTATTACTTTGTTCATTTTTCATTCAATATTTTTAAATTTCATTATATTTTGAATTTATATTATTTGTGGCGTTTGTTTTTTTTTTGTTATGCAATACTAATTGAAATTTGTATGAAAAAATTAATTTTTTACCTACCAATAGAATTTCTATAGTTTATAATTTATTTTTATTAGACAAAAATACTTTTAAAAATATTACCTGGTACACCAAGACGATATGTCTTTTGAACATATTTGAGACCATGAACAATTTCTCTTTGTACTATGAAGTCTATTCTAATTTTGTATGAAATTCCTTCTTTAATAATGAACACCTAAATGGAATTTAATTTTTAATTTTACACTAATAATAGTTTGTTTAAATTTAAAAATGTATTTTAAATCACCTGTTTTTTCAAATTTGTTAAATCTCCAGACAAATCAAGTTCCATGTCTGGCCTATCAGCAACACACAATGCTAATTTTTTAACAATCACTTTATTTGGATTATTTTCATCTGAAAAAATAAATTAAACCAATCAAATAAATTAATTGAAGTATAAAATATAATAAATATATATATGTATATTATAGTAAAAACGATGAAAATCAGGAAGATAGGAGGGGCAGAACACAAATGGTAAGGCCAGGTCACCAAATGGATACTGAAGAGCATTGAGACTGTAACTGTTGGGTCATCCAAAACAATGATGGGCAGGCAAAATCCAAAAATACCTTACCATGCTAGGAATATTTAATAGTGAAGAGATAGTTACAAAGACAGATGAAGAGGAATGGTGGTTGTAGCGAAGGACCTGGTTAAGTGAAAAAAACAAAATATGTATATTATGGATTAAGAAAGTTATCATTTAAAATAAACTAAACATTTTTATGAAATTACTAATTATTTTTTTAATGACTGATCTCAAATAATTGTAAAAAGAAGGAAAGGAGAACACTAATTAATTTGTATGTTATTGATAAATTTTAAAACTCGTGAAATGTTAATTTTACACACCTATATACTTATACATTATACTATTATCAGTTGAACACAGTAGTTCCCAACTGGTGGTGTGAACTCATCTCGAATGATTAGTTTATTGTATTGTATGTATTTGTATAATAACTTATATTAAAGAAGGTGATAAGTTGGGATGAAAAGTTATAGGAGGTAACATTAGAGATATGCACAAAAAATCGAAAATATGTAAAAAAAAAAAATATGGATAGATAGATAGTTAATAGGTACTGAATATTTTCAACTGATCCAAAAAAATGGAATCAACATAAAACTTTTACTTCCAATAACTTCAACCTTGCAATTTTTACAAAATAAAATATAATGCTGTAAAAAAACAATTTCACCCAATTCTGTAGTGTGTCTTCAAGCAAGTTACTTTCGGTATTTAAAATCAATTAAACACACAAAATAAAGCGAATGTATAACTATGAAGGACTAAACTAAATTTTATTTTAACGGTCCCAAAGAAAAAAATAATCATGTTATACTCATAAACGATAATCCATTGTTAGAAAACCAGATACAATAAAATTCCCCGATGTCTTGATAAGTATTATTCTGTTAGAATATATTTTTAATTAATATTTTTCAATAGTTTACTAATAAGAGGTACTATGTATATAAGAATAATACAATTATACGTTTTATATTTTTGGTTTGGACACTTTATTATTGAGACTGTAGTTGAAAATGTTGAAAATAAAAATATAATTTGACTAAAAATGCAAAACATCATTAATATGCAATTCTTAGAAAAAATTATCAAAATATACAAAAAAAAAACACAAATATGAACTCAGTAAGTTATGGAACAAATGTTTAACTATAAATAGAATACATAGATAAAAACATACAATTTCTATAAGTTTCATCCTAAGCGATATGTAAGGTAGTCGAATGAGCTATCAATAAGTTCAAGTTATCATCCAATACATAAACCTAAATATTACAAATACCTACCTAGTTATTAAAATATTTCATACTTGTATCAATTATAAATAATTAAATAGGTATATCAATGAATTATTAGTTAATTTCAATTAAACTACATTTTTTCAAGATTCATTTGTAATAACTACCAAATATGACTTTTACGCTATTAGCGTCGCCCAGTAATTTTTCCTTATATTTCTGCAAGCTCGCATCCTCCTTGTCGGCATTCAAAAGCTCTTCAATAGACTTCACGGGTGGCGGCTTGTAGTTTGAATCAATTTCGTCATCATCGTGGATAGCTAATTTGTCCACACCGTCTTTGACCACATCTCCGTCGGCCATTTCTGAACAAGATTCATAAACGTTATTAACCATTGTATATAAATAAATCGAGGTTAAAATAATAACCGCGAGTACTTACTTTCTGAGTAGCGAACAACCAATACTATTGGGTTCAAAACAAACGCACGGTGCCGCACTGTTGTTTGTCAAAAATTAATATAATATGTATCAGGATAACTTATGGGTTTTTGGCAGTAGATTTTTTTTTTTTTTCACTAATGCTAAATACCTACCAAATGAAACTTCGATAATGCAATGTGAATAATAAATGAGTCAATGTGATAACAGTATTGATAAGCATGGAATGCTCAGTGACGTTGTAAGATATAACCACGGTATACAAGATATTACGATTATTTCGCGTCGAACACTGTAAATCGGCGACCGGTAACCCGAAACCACACAGCGAAACAGCTGATCAAAATATTATATACATGGTCTATAAGTCTACAACCCGAATTAAATCATGTCTAATCACTTTATAATGCCATTTCGTCTGTTTTGCGTGGGTGTGTTATTAATGCTGAAAATGACCGGCGTGACGTCCCTCTTGATTCATAAGAGGATTCACAGAAACAATAGGACTGATACTGCATGCTGATGGGTGTTCCACTGTTATTGGTTAAAAGATGGAAAGTTATAGGCACCGATACATAATACAAGAAATACCTGTGGATACATTAATACATTATTTAAACTACTTAATTTATTTCAATAAGTAGATAACGATAAACTATTGCTAACGAAAAACGATTCGGAGAGAAGTTCGGTTATACATGTTTTGAAAGACTGTAACATTTACGATTTTCGTTTAAATTTAATAATAAATTCTTAAAATATTTAATAAAAATACATTATATTTTTTTTTTCAATTTTTTTTTTATGACCACTATAAAAAAAAAATAAGTCGATTTTTACGGAATCTATTAATTTTCTAAGTATTTCTGTTTAGTCTAAAAAACTCGCAAAATTAAAATATCTATAAATAGCTCAAATATTTTAAAAATTTGAACACATTCAGAAAAAGTAACTATAAGTTTTCTGTCAAAATTTCACGTCTCTACGAATATTTTCAACTGAATTGAAACAAAAGAAACGGGCATACCTACTTCGCACGATGAGTGGACTTTTGTTATAGTTAGAATACGAATGGTAGAGGATAGATTTAATGTATATCTGTTCACAAAGATAAATCGTGGCTAATGAAAAAAATTCTGAGCGATGTTGAGTTATACATGTTTTAAAAGACTGTAATATTTACGATTTGAAAATAATAAATTCTGTAAATTTCTCCGCTTTTTCCCAGTTTTTAAGATTGCAATAAAAAAAGTACCGTCGTTTTTCTATCGGAGCAATATTTCTGGTAGTTTGCATAAATTAAAAACAATGAAATCAGTAACGCCGTGCCGTAAATATTTTCTGTTTTTCCGGTAATTTTTTTCCCAATTATTATGAAAACCCTTTGGAACATTTAAACTTGACTTTTAATGCACCAACCAGAAAAAATTACCTTTTAGAAAAGTCACTGCACTCAACACATCGAAGCGTGATTTCTGGTAGAAAAATTGTTCACAGACACGATAAAAAACAAATGCACACATTATAGTAAAAATTGCATAGTACAGTTAAACCGATATATCCCATGTATACGCTCATTGACGCCCGAAAAGGGAAGGGCAAGACGGAGTCCCTGCCCCCCCCTTTTACTTCAATATTTCAAATATAATTCTAACAATTAATTAATATAATTTGATTTTGAGTACTTTTTGGTGTTTGATTTTATTATGCCGTTCCCTGATAAATGTCCTGCGGATGACTACGGGCGTACGACGTTCCAAATCTCGAATGATTGACAAGAATTACCTATTAGATAATTCAAAATCCAGTCCGCACTTCTACATGGCCGTCACTGGGGCGCAAGCAAGCCATGCGTTGCTTTTGGACGGTTAGGCATACAATTTCAGAGAAATTAAAGCGGAAAGTGAAATTAATAATCGTCAAAAAAAAAATACGGCGGTACAATTTTCGCATTAGGGCGGAGCATGTATTACAACGCGGGCCTACGCGTCTGTACCGGGCGATCCATTTAAACGGGTACGGAAGAGGGCGAGCAAAAATAGCATAACAATAAAATTGTAGTGCTGCTCGTTTCTTAAATGTCCTATAAAAAACCCGTTCCCGAAAAACGTCAATACCTTCCGAGATAATCAGTGTACCCATTTAAATGCGTCACCCGGTATTTGTATATTCTTAGAACGCATTCGTGTGGTAGAGAAAATGGGAAAATCGCAGTAACTGTGAAATGAAACTTCGATTTTGCCGACGTACAGCGCCGGGCAGTAGCAACCCGGCGGCGTGATTGATTTTCCATAACGGTCGACCGCGGTCCGCTGTCCCGGGTAATGTACACGCCGACGACACGTCATATGAACACAAATTGAATAATTGTCATTTGTTATTTCCGACTTCGGATTCGGTACCCAAAAAATGTAATACGAAATGGCAAATCGGCGATACCCAATTTTACTATTCGATTTCACTATCGCGATCAAGTCCGAATGCAGCAGGGCTTGTTGTAACGCGCAGTCGGGCTTGCTTTGCGTATTTGGACGGCGGAGATGCGCCCTTGATAACACATTTTTGCGCAATTGATTTTTTTTTTTTTTTTTTAATTTATCGTTATATCAATAAGATTAGACAGCGTAAAAACTATAACAAATACTATTTTTAGTAAATAGCGATTACGTGTGTTGAACAATCAGGTACCTAATACTAAACGTGTTTAGCTAAATGAACTTTGTACTCGACCGATATAATGCAATCTTAATAATTTCCGTCAATAATAACCGTATCGTGTAAAGTCGTTTTTGTTTCATTGGTTATTCGCTGCGGCGTAACTATCACTGGGCAAAAGGGCCCCGGAGCTCGGCCGGGGACCCTCGGACAAATCTGAAATTACTTCCGAAAAACAATTGCGAATTTCGACGCATTTGATAATGAATGTTTTAAACCAATTGCAGTCACAATCGTTATTTAACGAGAATCATCATACACACGATAAAATCACCGTACTGATGGCCATAACTCGTACAGTACCTATAACAAACTGTACAGCAAGCTGGATTTCCTTTTACTTTGTTTATTTACTCATCATCTATTAATTACGTTCAATTGTGGTTCCATCGTGGTAAGAACAAACGCTACGAATTATATTAGTCGGAGAGCCTAACATTCTAATTAGGTGCTCCCGGGGCCCTTTTGTTCAATGGAATTTTTTTATGGTAGCAACAAACGGAGAGCAAACTGAGAAAAAAAAAAAAAAATGTTCTAAAACCGTGTTACGTAGGTAAATAATTATTACGAAAAGAATAAAGATAATACATTTTAAACGCGTATGGCTGTTGCTTTGTTTCTACGGTACGGGTTGAATTTAAAAATATTACACCGGAGAGCGGGGCAAATTTCACCATTCGTATCTACGATTCGACACGGTGTTTCGTGATCGCGGTTCTATTTCTACAGGTGACGCTTAATCAAATTAACCGCGCAGTGGCCCAATGCAAGTTTGAACGTACCGTGGTGCATTACACAGTCTCGGGTCAGATGAATAGTCTTCGTGCACGGTCCTATAACCGGCGGTCCGCAACCTGCGGTACCACTGGGGCGGCACGCGAGCGGGAAACACGGTGCGGTGCGCAGGCCGGGCGGCGGTAACAGGGAAAATAATTGAAAACCAAATCGCTACGGACGTTAGGTGTCGCCGTGTGTCGAACGCCGCGGCCCAAACGACCAGACCGAGAAACAATGGGCATTTCACGTAGAAGCGAGTGAAATATTTTTTCCTTCTGAATGTGGCTAGTCCGCCCAGAGTCTTTTTGCGCGTTGTTAATGGATCCGTCCGTTGTCTGCGTTTTTGCGTTTCAGATAAATGTTCAACGCGGTCTCCATGGTCAAAACTTCCGCGGGCGGACACAAATATTCCGATCTACGGCCGTATTCAAAACTTTGGTGTACCCAGCGCTACCTGATGTGCATTCGATTTTCAGTCCAGTACACGGCTAGAGAAACGTGACAGTCCATGGTATCTAATATCATTGATTATAAATACCGGTATTTGTAATCAACGCTAATATCCATAAGTCACGAATCCACGATGGAAGATCGACTACAGCCGTGCTTGATATAGTCGGTTGCCTCTAACGACCGACATGGCGTGTACTGAATACTGAATACTGATTGTGTCTACTTTTTCAAAGTTTTCAAGTCGTGTGTATTATTTTTTTGAAATTACTACCTTACTACAGTAGCCTTTCAAATGTTGTCTGCCACACAACGTTGTCCAAAACCACGTTTTGCAGTTCTTACAAGAATAATGAAAAAACATTGTAGGTCTTTTAGAAAACCCACCGCGTATGTGCTGCGCATTTTTAAAGATTGTGATATCGCTCAACACTCAACAGTAAATGGGAGTCTGGAGGACTCGAAAATATACAATATTAATGATAAATAGTCAATTAATATATTATTCAATTTAGCTATAGCATTGGTCCAGTATCATCGGATTATTGGACTGGGTCTGGGTGACTATGAAAAAAAAAAAAAAAAAATGTTATGTTATTTTCGATTTGTCGCCAAGTCGAATTAAATAACAAAAATTAGATGTATAAACTACAGCTATAGATATTAACGAATGAAAGGAACTGTCGCTGTAGGTAGCGCTCTAGCCGACACTGGTGATAAGGCTAACGGGAAGATGGGCGCTATAATAACATTAGAAATTGGAACAATAGTAATTTAGCCAAAATAATCCACTAGTTTTTTCTGAAATCTCCTTACTAAAATTTATTTTACTAACAATTTGTAGTAATAAGAGTGCATAATATTTAATTCTGTAATAGAAATCACCGACATAATTCAACATATTGGTGATTTTAAAAGACCGTTTGTCGAATGTTCAGAAATAGTTAAATGCAACCATATTATTGAAATGAGTTTAAGAGGAAAATAGACGCTCTAACGGAGTTTAGCGGTCTTTAATAATATTTATTCAATGTTGTACCGATTTTCCCGTTTTTCTTACGATTTTCACGTTTGTCCCAGTCGAATTTTTTTTTTTTTAGAAAAAGTGCTATCTTTGTAATCGGAACAAATTTACAGGTAAAGGTCGTGCAAAGAGACAAAAAAAAAATCGTAATATTTTTAGTAATACATTTTCCCGTTTTTCGTTAGTTTTTTTTTTCGGTTTTTCACATATGATGAGAAAACTCTTGAGATAAACGAAAAATGACCTCCTTAGAGTACCTTCCCACACCGGTTTTCTTTCAGAAAAGGCGCAATAATTCTTGTAGAAAAGTTGCGCACAGATAAAAAAAAAAAAAAAATTGAACATCTTTGTAAAACCTTAAGCTTCTTCGCTTCACTTGAAATCTAAAACGATACATTTATCAAGATTTTATGACTATGTTTCCAAACCAGTGACCTTCACGGTGAACCTCACGGAGTAGGTAGGTACATTTTAAACACTATACCTATTATACAATATTATATAGTTCAATAGAAGTTTATATTTAATTTATCCATTTAGCTAGTAGCAATAATTGCCATCGTCTATAATATCAACAAATTAAGATACATTTGTGATTATTACAAAGAAATTCAGAAATCAGAAGTTAATACTCGGTACTCAATGTCTCAATATAATGCAATCAAACGTATATCTTCCCCGTTGGAGCAGTTCTAATAAATTCCACGGGGCAGCGATTCTTTCGCATTCCATCGTGAATAGGCAGAGGACCTTAATAGTTATTGTTGTTAATATCCTCGAGAGTCTGTATCATAGATAAAAATAGATCTACAAGTACATCCGAGATTTTGCTGAAATGTCATGTACACTAGGTAGCCCCACTCGTAGGTTTCAACGCGGCTGAGATGAGAACTTTTAAAAACCGCATAGCACGGTACTGTACAATCATAAGCCGGGTCCACACCAAACGCGCACCTCCGCGCAACGTTTTATCGTCTGAAACATTCTTGCGAGCGCAAGCGTCCGAACTGCGCGTAGAAATGTTTGTTGCAACGTGATCATATGTTTTCCAATGTTCGTCCAATGTGTCTGTGCTGTTCAAAAAGTACAGTTGTCCGCTATTGTTTCGTTTTCGATATTTTTCATAATATTTATCTCTCACTTGTATAATGTCTGATCAAATCACCAGTGCTGCGTTTATTGTTCTACATAGCCTACTTGAAAAAAAAAAAAAAACAACGACAATAAAGAGTTAATCATCCCTTTTATTGTGTCGATATCACACGAATATAAATTTGACAGCAGTTCAACTCACGCATCATTTTTTTTTTTTTATTTTGTTCAAGTGAGATTTTTCTTTAGGGGTTCCATGAAACAGGTTTTTCGCGATTGGACTCGATTAGTTTAATTACTTTATCTCGGCCCCGAGCATTTTCTGAATTGCAGCTCATTATTATTATTATAAACTTTATTTTATTTTATTATTAATTTTATTCTATTTAATTGTATAAAAATATAAAAGAATAAACAATTGCGTATTGGCTGTTGCAGCAACGACACGGCACGACACGACACTGACAGTTTCTCGTCCAAACCAGATAAGCAAAACGCGCCGAACACCGCGCATTTCCCATAATTAACGAACAAACTTGCAACATGCACGAACATGCGTGTTCGTACGCGGACTAGGTCTACACCAAAACGCGCCGTGCATAGTAGCAACGTTGTAAAACGTTTTGCGCGTCTGGTGTGGACCCGGCTATAGACTTTACTACACATAGATGGAACATTTACCCCGAGGATTGAGAGGCGTGGTCGATCCGAACGGAACAAGAGAAATAGGCTGACATGAAGCCTAGTGTGAGAGAGAACAAATTTGCTCTTCGAAGACAGCCAATTAAAACACTGCGTTTATTATCTTAGGTGTTTCTGTTCTTGAAAAGAAACTCCGCCCACCGGAACATGTTTTCATGCTGAATGTTCCGTCTGGATGTATACAATACACCGTTGTGCAACCCATTACCCAGCATAAAGTCGGGACACCGTGCAGTTCGGCCCTGTAAGATGTCAGTCAAGAGTATCAACTATGAAATATAAAAATTCCCATTTTAATTATGCGCCTACCAGAAAAATATTATATTTTAATATAAATTATAATTATATTTAAAAAGATTTTAAACAGCTTTAAATTTTTAAGAGTATTAAAAAATAAATAACAATAGATAATAAAAAAAATAATAAATGGTATATTATACTGTATTTATATGGCTACGGTTTATGGTTAAGTATTAATAGTTATAGTTAAGTATAGTCTATATGTTATTCTAAGGCCGTGATTAATTTTAGAATGAATTGACCTATTACAAATGTAAGAATATTATCGACCGATGGATAGATAATGTACCTTGTCCAGGAGCAGGGTGGAAAATTCATAAACTCCAAATTCATAAAATGGTTGGTATTAATTTGTATTTTTTTATTTAAGGTTAGAGTTCGAACTCTTAATTTCGGTTATCAGCTATAATTTCTTATCACGGAGCCGAATTCTGATAACGAGGCCGAACTGACCCCATCCCCCAGGGGCCCCCCTATAGGGCCTATAGCCGTGGTTAACACTCAAGTTTCAAGTTCAACAATTTGTTGATAACAACGAAACTACAAGAGCACGTTAAATATTTTTCGTTTACGTTTACTGTTTTTTATTATTTTTTTTCTCAATTATTTCTTTTAATGTTTACTAATTAATTAATTTTAATATGAGCAATACGACCTTCTGCATTTAATGCAATGATTTAAAATAATCGTATATAAAATAACGCTACACGATCATGGTAGCAGGTAACAGTCTAGTTGTTGTTTAATTCTTTGTACGATGCATTTTTAAAGTATGTAGCAATATTTGGTTATATTAAGACTATAGAGAGTGTTTTCTTATTAATAAAATTGTTTAGCTCTCAGAAAATTATGGGAAACTCAAATTGGGCAAATTCAAATGTGCCTAAATGTCTTCCAGACAAAGTATCACAGTTGTATTACTCCTATGGTTTGTTTTGTGCATCTCATCCAGTTGTTTCGTTAGTAATTTCTACTGTATTTGTATTTTTATGCAGGTAATAATAAAAATAATAATTCATCTAAAAAATATATTATCTAAGTGTATTATTTTATATTTTATTTATTACATGCTAGATTTTTTTTTCTTTTTTATAAAATGTTTTATATAAGAATGGATTGGTATTTATTTGTAAAATTGTTTAAAATTATTATTTTTACAAATTTAAAAACTAACATAATTCACCCACTCATGCGGTTTTTCAATTTTTATTATTTTTTATGTGTTTCATACAAACTTAAAAAGTAAGTATCATACAATAGTACCTATAGTTTTTACTATAGTGTTGCCTCATAAAAAAAATTAATATATTGATAAAAAAACCACATGGGACCCCAAATTTGTTTATTAATGTTAACTTGAATATTTCAACTTATTTTGGTAGTAATATTATATATTTTCTAGTTTATCATTGTTCGGATTGCCTTTATTCAACAATGTTGCACATTCAACCATAACACCTTCTTATAAGCCAGAAAATGTATCAAATCGATGGTTTAATGGACAACCTCGTGTGTATATTCAACAAGTAACATATTTTAAATTATTTAAATATTAAATAAGACAGGTCAATTTATACTAATTTTTTTTTCAATAATATTGGATATGTTTTTAGGTTATTGTACGGTCAATGGTAAATCCATGGATGGATAATTTAGCCTCATCAGACGCCTTTAGAGGTCCATTAGCTGAATCATTCAAATTAGTTGAGACCATAAGAAACTATCAATTGGATAACAAGTATTTACATTAACAGTTTTTCAAATATATATCCAGTGTATATATTATGTAAGATTTCATTTCATTTGTCATTAGAATTTCTTTAAATGATGTTTGCCTGCACATAGAAAACATTAACTCTGATGTAAAGACATTGCCAGAATATAGTTGTTTACTTGTGTCACCTACTAATTTATGGCATCAAGACCCAGAGGAATTTCATACAGATAATAGTCTCGAGAAAACAATTTTTACTTATCAGGTATGTAATGTACATTAAAAGTTAACTGTTTTAAAGTGTTAGGGACAATATAAGGGATACAAGACTCAACCACTTTAAAATATAGAATGTCTCATGTCTTAAACTTATATTTTACCATTATTTATAACTTAATAATTGAAAAAAAAAAATTTAAGCTTGTTAAACTAGAATAATTCAGTTTAAAATCTGATCACTTTATCGATAGTAATCATAAATTATTGTATCACTATATATTTAGTGTGCAACAATATGCTAGTAAATCAAATACTATTTTGTTTAGTACATCCTTCTGATGGATCACATACAATCATTTATTTGTTTTTTTTTTTTTGTCCAAACTACTTATATAATGTAATTTATATATTTTTTTTAATTTTCAGAGTCCATCTCACATAAAAATTAGTATTCCAGAAGTATTATTTGGAATGCCACTTAAAGAAACTGGAATTAGGAGATATGCTGTACATCCTAGACAAAGAGTTATTCAATTTGCTATTACAATTTTTATGAAACGGCTTGTACCACCGTGAGTAACTTTTTTGTTTTATAACTTTATAATAACATATAAATGTAATGAGAGTAATTTTTTTTATTAAAGGTTTATTCAAGGGTTAAAAACCCATTTAAAACACATTTACCCTGTATATGTTAAATCAAATCAGATTCTTTCGGACACATCCACATTGCATATTTACTATCCTGGAGAAGTTAATTATGAAACAATTTTTTTTTTGTTCACTTGCTATATGCTTTTATTTGCATATATTTATTATTCTATTAAAAAAATGGACATATTTGTCTCCAAGGTATTTTATTTGTTAATCTTAAATATTGTCTAATTAATGCACTTTTACAATATTTAGATAGGAATAAGTTTTGGAGCAGTTTTCACAGTTGTGTCTACTCTTTTAACAACCATGGGACTATGTTTTATATTTGGACTAGATTTCACAATAAGCATTCAAAGTCAGATAGTAATGTCAATAATATAATTTTAAATTTGTTCACTTTAATTAATTTATATAATTATATTAACAAATGTTTTAGGTATTTCCTTACTTAATTATTGTTGTTGGTCTTGAAAACATGTTAATTATAATAAAATCTGTGGGTTCAACCGCACCAAACTTGGATGTAAAAATAAGACTGGCTCAAGGTTTAAGTAAAGAAGGATGGGCTATTACTCAAAATCTTTTAATTGAGGTTACTATTTTAACGGGCGGATTATTAACTTTTGTACCATCAATTCAAGTAATATTATTTTATATTAAAAATCATAATTATTTATTTTCTTACTTATTATTGTTTTATATATTTAGGAATTTTGTATATTTGCTATAGTTGGATTGCTCTGTGATTACTTTTTCCAAATGGTTTTTTTTCTTGCACTTGTATCATTAAATATGAAATCTGTAGATGACTCTACTTACCAAAAAACATATTACCCATTTTCATTTGCTAATTTGGCCAATAAAATGCATAAATCTAATCCTCCAGCATTGAAACATTCAAGTCGTAGTGGTGTCATGTTAAAGTCTGCGTCTCATCCACGCTTAAATGGTTTACAAATTATGGCATCATTAGAAGATCCAAGACGTAAACCAATATCCAAACGTTTAAGATTTTTATATTTTTGGGCGGCCACAAGAATTGTACAGCGATTATTAATGATGGTTATGATATTATGGATATCTGGTATAATTTATAATACAGAAACTGTTCAAGAATTTTTCAACTTAAGGAAATCTGTGAATATTGAGGAAACAAATATTCAACCACAATCAAATATACATTTTCCTCTTGCATGGGAAGAAGGCCGAAGAGCTGTTATTATTGAAAACAAAGCCAGAGATACTGAAAAGAAAGAATACCAGATACATAATAAAGTATTGTATTATTAACAAATAAAAATTTGTATTGTTAATTACCAATGTAAACCATTTTTGTGTAAGGTTAATCAATCGCAAGAAAATGATTTGCCATATTATGTGAAACTTTTAAATACAGAAAAATGGCCTCATTGGCCTAGACTGTCTTGGTACAACTGGCAATTTTTATTAGGCATGTATAATATTAGTGTCGCTGGATCTTATGTGTCTATACTACAACCAATACATGTGGCTCACCCTGTATCACCTCTGGAAGCAATGTCTTTACGTGAATCTCTAAATAATGCTGATAAATCGTTTCCATCCCATTGGAAATCCTTTGCTGCAGCTCTTGACCCTTTTGATTTTGTTGGTATGTTTTTATTAAAATTATTGAAATTTTTCTGCATTTCACAAATTATCTTATCATTTAGATACACATATAGTAGCTCCACTGGGAAGTCGAAAAGACATGAATATTGATAAATCATCTGAACCTTTTATACCTACATCACCGTCAGAATTAATTTTAATTGCTGTCCTATGTCTTATTAGCATATTAGTGCTAGTTTATACTTTAGTAATGTTGTATAGATGTGTCTGTAGTCGTAACTATGCTGAATGGAGAGCTGGGTGGAGCCATGACATGAGTTATATACAGCATGACTCTGGAATACAAGTATGTTTATCTTCTTAATTTCACTATTGTGGTGTTTGTAGATTAAAATTAGTTAAAATTCTTATGTAGGTTATATTAGAAGCAGTTCCAATTGAATTTAAAGGACATACCCAATCAGTTGAGTGTATTGCAACCTATGGAAATATTATTGTTAGTACCTGCTTAGCTGGTTGTATTAATGTTTGGAATGCATTAACTGGTGAATTGATTAGTTCCATTGATAGGTAAATTTTGTGAAAGCATTATATTTTATTTTTTTTGTTAACCTTCCAGTGAGCACGTTGTTGTAAATAGTACAACAGTTTTGTATTTATTTATTTCTCTTGGTTATATTCTATAATCTAAATAGCTTAATTTATCTTAATAGCTAACATGGGTATTCCTCAAAAATGTTATTATCTACGTCTTGGACTTTTTTTGAAGTGTTTCAGTTCACATTTTGCAGACAATTGATGAAGGACTTATTATATTGCAAAGTACAACATGCGCTATCCTATCCGTGTACTTATGCTAAATATGTCATTTTTTTTTTAGTTATATATAATTGTTATCTTATAGAGATATGATCGAGTATGATGCTTGTATGTAAGGTACATTCAAAATAAGTTATTATATGTGAACAGTGTTCTAATAATGATGACAATGACAATTCTGAATAATTCATTGTTTATTTTATTTATTTATTATATAATAATAATTTAAATAAAAACAACAGAAAACATATGATTTATTTTATTACTGCCAGTATTAATATATATTAGTAAATTTGGATTTATAAAATAATAAATTAATTGATATTTGATATGTGTTTAATTATCACAACATATTAGGACTGTTGTAAAATTTACAACGTGCGACTACTCTTGTTTCAGATAATGGCGTGCCCGCTCGAAGGTTAATACTAAAAGTAAATTAAATCAATTTGTTTATATTATGTTAAAAAAAATGTCTAAAATAGGTATTCAAATACACCTATTAAACATTAAAAATATACATTTTAAATTGTTTATATTTAACAAAAAAAAAAATTGGTAATTATTTATAAATTAAATCTTACTATTTTAAATAATGTAACTAAGTTAAAATTTGTTTTTAATCAAACTTTATAATTTACATTAATTAAATATCACTAATTTAACTTAATTTATTTCAGATCCAATTTAGATTATGATAGTGATGAAGATACTGAGGAATTCAATTTACCAGAAGACATGTCTAATGATTTTAAAAATACTACTTCTGATTCCAATTGTTCCTCTAATTATAACTTTCCGGAGCCTTTTAAAAATACGGACCAGTAAGATAAATTTTAATATGTATTACTTATTAGGTATATATTGCATATATTTTGTTTAGATTCTGTGCAAGGTGCAAGAATATAATTTATATTGAAAATACTAATTCTAATATAACGAGCAAAGATGTAAACAAACCAAGATTTACTATTAATTCAGATAAAAAAAGTGAATGGGAAAGTCTATCTAAAAGAGTTTCTGAAAATGAAATCTGTGTCAATTCCCAAATATGGTGTGTTGATTGTAATGAAAATGTTGTTGTTCTGGGTTGTGCTGATGGTTCATTGCAATTTTGGGATTTATACAAGGGAATACTTAAAGTATGACATTCATTGTTATTTTTTTGAAAAATATTTTATTTTACAAATAATTTTTAGTGTATGTGGCAAGGAGATATTATTGATGGATTTACAGCAATTAAATTAGTCAATAAATATGTAGTTGCTGTGAGGTTGAATGGATCTTTAGAATTTTTCAAACTTGATATTTTTAGTGAATCAACCCTGAGAGAAAGCATAGAAAAACCCAAAAATAAATTACCGCTTAGAAGTAAATATTATTAAAAAATTAATTTGAATTGTCTTAAAAATAAATTTGTTTATAATTAAACAATATTTTTCTTTTCTTGTAGAGCATGTAAGAACTGGAAGCATAGGTTCATCTCTTAATATATTGAATCCAACTAACGATACTGTGCGTTGTCTTCATTTAGAATCTCTTAAGGCACACAATCAGCCAATTACAGCTCTTGAAACTAATGGAGCATATATTGTTACTGGTAGTCAAGATCACACGCTGAAAGTTAGTATGATAATGAGAATTATTAATATTGAAATTAATTTAAAGTTTAAATGTTCTTTTCTTTGTAATTAAATATAAAATACTATGTTAACAATTATTGTTTGGCGTTTTATATTTATTTATTTATTTTATTATGTAATATATATTGTATAAATTTATTTATTTTTTTGTGATAAGGTATTTAGAATAGAAGATAGACAACTATTGTACACTTTGCATGGGCATTATGGACCGATAACATGTTTATTTATTGATCAAGTTAATCCTCGAATGGCAGCATCTGGTAGTCAAGATGGAATGTTATGTGTATGGGATTTAATTACTGGTTTGTTGATAATTAAAAAATTAATTTTTATATTATACATTTATTATCTTTTCCTTTACTTATAGGTACATGCATGTATACAGTTCAAAGTCATGATGGAGCAGTTTTAGGACTAACATGTTCAGCAAGTTATGTTATTAGTATTGGACAAGATGATAAAATTTGTGTATGGGATAGGTTTCATGGCCACCAACTTAACAGTATTCAAATAGTGAGCAATTTATTTTCAAATATTTTCAAATTAGATTATTGTTATTTATTTTATTTTTTTTTATAGAGCAATGTTTATTGTTATAATTTGGCAATGTTAACACATAATTTGCTCATTACTTCTAAACAGGTAAATAATATTTTTTAAGAAAAACAAAAATGTAATTTTAATGTATATGATTTGTTATTGCTTAGGGTTGTATAGTTATTATGGATGTGCAATCTGGAGATCCAGTAAAAGTTTTTAGTTTAGGGGATTCAGATTGTAATGTTGTTACTCAATTGTTAACACTATCGGACAGCATTGTATGTGATTATGGTACAGAGTTACGTGTTGTACGATTTCCAATGGTAGCTACTAAAGAGGATTAAATTGTATCAATGACTAAGTATAAGAAATAATATGGTTTTGTTTTATTTTTAAATATTAGTATAGTTTTATTTTTTTAACATGTTTTTGATCTCAAATATTTTATAAAATAAAAAATGTTATTACTGTTTTAAATAAAATATTTTTTTGTAAAAATGTGATCTGTGTACAGTATACCTACCAACATACTTATAATTTGTCATAAACAATTTGACAGAACTTATAGAAATAATATAAGATGCATTTAAATACAATATTCTATTTTATTATACTTAAAAAATTATTGTTTTTTCGGTAGAGTTCAGCAGGTGGTATTATTTAAATTATGTAAATTGAATGAACATAATCTCAAACTATTATCATTGGTTGCGAGTATAAATTAACTTTGTATACCCCATCTTCCTCACACATACAACAGTGGCTGCACCCGTCTAGAATATCAGCTTTTCATATTATGGTAAAATAATTACATTTTCATTAATAATATTTGCTTAATATTTTACCTATTTTCCCATTCTTCCATTTTTTGGGGGGTTTTTCCAATATATTGAGAAAACTTCTAAAAAAATCAAAATATGACCTTCCTAAAGTACTTCCCCAGGCAAATTTTCTATCAGTAAAATTGCTATTGTAAATCAGAGCTGGTAGAAAAGTTGTTCACAGAAAAAAATTATGAAATTAATTTTGCAAAATATAACTGAACATGTAAAATGAATCAAATAAGAAATTATAATAAAACACTTATTTTGAAATACTCATCTTTTATTCTTTATACTGCACAATTTTCTTACATCTGTTATATATCCAGAAGTATAATACTTCTTTTTCTATAGTCTTATACGTATGAATATTTGATATGGAGGATATTTGTAGTCAAGTTTTAAAATATAATAATTATTTATTTTTTTACCTACAGCCTATAAAGAATTAAGTGTTAATACATTATAGATAGTTGAATATCAAAAACAATATGTATAGTAATAAAAAAATAATTCAATGTTTCATATTTTTATGAAATATTTCACCACATACATAGTAACTTCAAACACTATATAATTATAATTAATATTTTCTATATTTTTTAATAGTTTTTTTTTTCTATTAATAATGTTTAAATTAAAAAATATAAATAAATAATAAGAAATAATTACCAACTACAGAAGAAATAATTATTTAGGGTTTAGACTTTCCTCAAAAAGTGAAACCTTATGTATCCTAAATTCTCAACTTCCCACCAACAACAGTGGCCGCTCCCATCCCCAGTATCAGCTCTTTTTTAATTTTGTATCGCTTACTCCTATTACTTGGCACTTATGCCTTAATTTGATAAATGACACTTACGCCATTCAAACAAAGATTATTTTATTATAATTCTGTCAGTGATCAATAAATCGATAATCGGGTGAGCACAATCTATATAAAAAACCGAAATACATTACTAAAATATTACGATTTTTTTTCCTGTGTACAACTTTTCAACCGATAATTTTATTCCAACTTTTAATGATAGCAATGTTACTTAAAGGAAATTTCACTAGGGAGGTACTTTAAAGAGGTGATTTTTTTAATTTTGTCAAGAGTTTTCCCAGCAAATGTGAAAAACCGGGATTAAACATAGGAAAACTGGGAAAAACGTAGACAAACTGGAAAATCGGTACAACATTAAACAAATATTATCAAAGAAAATATATAAAGCCTATTTAATTATTCTTTTACTATAAAATGTCATATATATTGTTGTATCACTATCAACAAAACTCCGCTAATAATCGTTTTTTCGTAATCAATGGTTTATCGTTGTTTACAGGTTACAAAGTCTACATTTTAATTATCTATAACAGTGACTGTACCCATGCCCATTGTCCTAGGACGTTTATTTTTTTTATCTCTTCCATATGATTTATTATATTATACTAATTTAATTAATTTAATTAATTTTAGGTACTCTAATTAGAGTACCTATATTAGATACAATATATTTTATTTCAACTATCAGAACACATCTAGGACGATAATGATATTATTTTTTATACGATTTTACTAATATAACGTTAAATTAAATTATCGCATGCCAAAGTAAATATAGTAAATTACATTAGATATCTATATATGCAGAATTATTTTTGAATTTATACAAAAATAAATATGCAGAAAGCATAAGTAGGAAACTGATAAAACGGCTATAATCAAAATATAAAAAATTAAAAACAAGTAGATAGTATTTATGCATGTGGCGTTCTCAGGAATTCCAAAAGACGGGGTTCTGGGTAATTTCTAGAAAAATATGTAAGGTTAGGTAGGTAGGTAAGGACGAATTTGCACATCCCTTATAAATTTAAAATTAATTGATTGCAAAAAAAACCGGCTAGTGAAGAGGGGTTTAAACTCCATGTTCCCTTCCGTGAGTACGTCCATGTACTTACGTATCTATAATATAGGGTTACGGGAAAAAACGATATTAGCCAAAAAAAAAAAAAAAATAAATAGGATAATTATAATATTATCTTTTTTTTGTCATTTGTTTCTGACCGAATTGATATGCTAATCGAGTTGGAGCATAAAGGTTAAAATATACGGTATAATAAATAAACTGCATTACTGAACATTTTAGGAATATTAACTATTATTGTTCTTCCCCGTAACCTTTCACGTATAAACTCTGGAGCAACTAATGTAATTTACATATTATATATTATTAAATATTTATTCAGCTATTATTGACTCTAAAGTCCAAAGTATAAACGAGTAATAGTTTTATTATTCGAAATTATACAGTGCATTTGTTATTCACTAAATTAAAAGTTATAATTATTTTCATGAACGTCTCCACTTTTTTTGATCAAATAAGATATATAATATTTGCAAGTAAAAATTATGTAGTGATTTTAAATAAAAGTACACTACTTCAAAAATATTTGTAACTGGTAAGTAAAAACCATATTGACTTATTAAATGATATGTTTAAAACTACCTAGTGATATTAATTAATAACTATAGACAATACGAGCACCCATTATAATTGGGTCTCAAGGAGGGACATATTAACTTAACAGTTCAATAAAATATTATGATTATTAAAAAATATCTTCTTTGGATTTTAAATGACGAAGACCTAAATAAATTCTAAATAAATAACTTCGAAAAATATTTTGAGAATACAAATAGTAGAGCATAATATAAACTATTTAAGTACCCTATATATAACCTAATCTACCTATGTGTATATGTAAGTTAAACCGTTCGCCGAATTACACAATACCCGCAAGAATCATAAGTACCCTTTTAACATACAACGAATAGATACTTGTGGAGTTTGACATAGAATTTAGTATTTGTAATCTACCTTATATACTTTTTGACTGTCCCACTCTATCGGCTAAATGATTTATCCTTTTTGATTCCCTTAACGGCTTGAATACTCCCCCTCGCCTTTCAGCTATCCTAAATTCAAATTCCCCGTCTGTTGTCAAACTCATTACTTCCTTTCTCCTGGAGGCTGGCTTATTTATTTGAGTATTATATTGTATTTTAAACGAAATTGACATATATTTGTTTTTTCTATCATCATTATTGTTTCTATTAATATTTTATTATCACTATTATTGTTATTATTATTACAATTTTTTTTTGTATTTTATCATAATTGTCGAGCTTAAAAGTTTTTACTAGCTTTAATAAAAAAAAAAAAAAAAACAGAATTCTGTGACCGCATTCGTCCCAGTATCAGCTTTTTTTCTGTAAACAATTTTTCAAAGAGGAATCTCGTTCCGATGTACAGAGTTTACTACCTTTTCTGAAAGAAAATTTCCTCTAGTTGATGTATTAAGGAGGCCATATTTTGATTTTCTAAGAGATTTGTAAAATAATTGGTAAAAACCCGAAAGAAAATTATGGATAAAACGCAAATATTTACGGCACACCGCAGCGTTATTTTCATTATTTTGTTCACGATGTTTTTTACCAGAAATATTTGCGCCAATCGAAAAATGACAAGAAATCGATTTTGTTTCTTTTAATATTTCGCCACAGACAGAGAATATCATTTTTTTTTTTATATTCAAAGTAGTTTTCATAAGAAAAAGATCTTTTTTGTTGCATTTTTAAGTTTAGTTTTTTTAAGTTTAATTGGTAATTTAAAAAGTGTTTTTTTTTTGATATTTCCTCAGTTTTTTTAATAAATAGGCAAAACTGCAAAAAAATAGAATGAAGGTATCTGTTCCATAAACAGGAAATATGTAGGTTGATAATTATGTTAGATAAGATAAATTTGTGATTCACCTTCGTTGTCAATTCAAAATTTGTCGCATCTGTTCGATAATAAGTAATTATGTTTTTGAAGTAGGACCTAATAAAACTTATTTAATTTCTTAATGCAACGGTTCCCAAACTGTGATGCGGAACTCCATTGGGTAGCACCTTAGATTTATAATATACAGACCGCGCATTTACCATCGTTTTGTGTTTCTGTACAATACCTTGAAGCCAATGTATGTATGAGAGAGACAGACTCTGACGTTGCTTTTCCAAGGAGTTTTATAACAAATGTATACAATAATCTTTGAGATTATAAACATTTATGTTACAAAATAAGGATAACGAAATTGATAATATACAAAATAATTTAAATTTTAAATAAAATTTTGAATTTTATTATCTACTGATGATAGCGTTACCAGTGATCAATTAAATATAAAATTGCTTATAACCTCCTTTAAAAAGTATCATCAGAGTCTGTCTCTCTCGCACATATGTTGGCTTCAATATATTTCACTATAATGCGCGGTCTATATATTATAGTCTATGGGAGGCACAAGTCTTAACAGGGGAAGCGCGAGTAAATATTTATATTTTTAGATCAACAATAATTTCATTGAAACGTGATTTTGTAATAAAATTAGCATATTTATTTGATATTTTTCAAAAACTTAATTTGTTTAACATATACGTATAAAATACGTATATGTTAAACATCCTCTACAAGGTAAAGAAACTCGTATTCTGCAATTATATGATACCTAAAGTGGATGCTTTTATAGTTTTATTAAAAAAAATCGATTTACAGGCAAAAAAACTGACAGAACTACGGAAGAAAACGGTAAAACCCCTTGCTTTCCATTTTTAAAACATTATCTTGAAGATAATGATCCAACGAGTTCAATAATAATAATTTCTGATCATCTGATGCACTTGAAAATAACGCGAAATATTTTCTAGAAGAAATCAAATAAGTAATAAAATAATTGAATTAAAGACTCATTTACTGAAAAACCTTATGAAGAATAATTTATTATTAATAGATATTTCATCTGATTCTTCGTTATGAATAGAATTATCTTCATTGTCACTTTGAGGATTTTGGAATAACATTAAAGATACCATAAAGTTACCAACAAAACTGTATTTTCCAGTTTATTATGTGAAATCCTGGAAAAATCAAAATAAAAACATTTAAATACTTAAATAAAACCAACTTGTAATTAATTTATTCATGGGAGGCGTGATTATTTTTATTACTTTTAGGAATGAGAGAACCAAAAATGTTTAATAACCGATGCCTTACGGGATTATAGAAACTTATCCGTAGATACCTACCTGTATTATTCAAAGATATCTACTAATCTCAGTATTTTCTCATTCAGGACACACAAATTCATATTTAGGATAATATATATTACAAGATTAATTAAAACAAAAAAGTTTCCTTTTTGAGTAAAATAAAAAATGCGCACTAGATATTTTTAGAAAACTGAATCTTGTAACGTCCTACACAAATTATAAAAAAAATGTTTGCTATATTTTTACGTTGATAACCTGCCACTTATGCCGTTTTTTTATTTAATCCAAGTATAAATAGGTGGTAGGTAACTTAATGTACAAAACATAATATTTTATTATGTACCTATACTTATACTGATGTGTTAAAAAAACATATTCGATAACGGTGTTTTAGTGTAATCCATTAGCAATAACAATAAAATTAATGAGTCATATTATCATTAATATTATTGTTTCATTTACAAAATGTTTTATCTATAATTGGGTTTATAAGTACATTTAGTGTATTGTATTGGTATTATGTGTGCAAAGACTAACCAGCCAGAATTTATGCACTTATTTAATTAATAGTTACTGCACCAAAATGTATATTGAAAAACTTTTTTATCTTTGTTCCCCCCCCCCCGTTGAAAAATCCCGGATACACCACTTCTTTCAACCCCCCATAAATTCAACACTGGTTATAAATACTTAAAACCATCAATTCAAGACATATTATTTTATCTATGCAGTTTATCTATTTAGTTTATTCGTTTGTTTTTCGTGTTTGTATATAATATTGTTTGTATTGTGTGGACTGTTGATCCAGATACGAATTGACATTCATTGAACACAGACGTTCATTTAAATGTATACAGTTGGTAAGTGAGACCACCACATCATGCCTTCTGTTTTCTTCTTTTTTCTCACTTTGTTATTTTTTAATGGTAACATTTTAACGTTTCTTTGTTCAAAATAAAAATGTCTGTGGTCTTATAACGGTAATATATTAAGTAGGTACCTATTTTTATAATTTACAGGAAGCCTTTCTATTATTATTGTTATTTTGTAAAACGGAGTTAAATAAATTTAATTTATATTAACGAAAAATAATAGGTATATAGGTAGGTATGGATAAAGTAAATTCGTCAGTATCTGAATTTCAAATTTTATAAAAAAAAAAATTGTGATTGGGTATTTGATATTTGTATGCGTTGTTCTGAAATTATAAAATACTGTCTATTATAATTGATGAGGGACCATATTTTATATCATTTCGGTGTATGTATTTATTCAATAAGACATTATACTCGCATATTTCCGTCTTACAATCGCGTAACATTGAAAATTGTTATTTACCAGGGACAACCTTTGCAGTTAGTTTTAATATTAGAATGAATTGACTTATTATCAAAATTAAAGATAAGAATATGATCCGTTTTTTTCGTAATTTCAATTTTTAATTTTAAAATTTGCCATGTCACGTGTTTGTAAGACAGAGACAGTAGATGCTTGGAGTGGCGTTATAGATTTAGGGTTTAGGGCTACACAGTTTAATATTTCAAATTTTAAAATTTTTCAGCAAAATAGATATTGGCTTTAAAAAATAGCTACTTTATGATTCAACTAATTCTGTTTATGAGACCATGCAGAAATAGCTTAAGACAAGTTTTGTTTTTAATGTTGTTATGTTTATGGATTTAGGGAGAAAATTAATTTAATTTAAAAAACTTAATTAGATTTAATTATTGTTATAGTTCATCAATTTTAATATATGATAAATTTGTATCACTTTTTTTTATTGTACCTATTAATATCTTACTTATTACTTTCAGATTAATTTAACAATGTGGCTTAAAATAAAAGCATTATTATGGAAAAGCTTTCAATTGCGGAAAAGGTATTGGTTGAGCTCTATTTTAGAAATAATAGTACCATGTTTATTATTCTGTTTCCTAAAATATTATTTGACCAAAATTAACATTTACAATGATCCAGTAATTATAAAAGAATACAAACCACCTCCTATTTCTGAACAACAATTGTACAATCAATTTATTCAACATACAATGAAATACTTTATCTATACTCCAAAAACATTAGAAACTGAAGAAATTATGAAAACTGTTGCTAACAAATTGCTCATTAATCTTGAAAAAATTGATACGGCAAAAAATGAAAGTGACATGATTCAAAAAATGAAAAATGTTTCTGAAGATGGATTTGGAATTGTTTTTCAACAAATTATAAGATCTTATATTTTTAAGTACAAGATAAGAAACACAAAGGATGTATGGTTTACAAATTATTTGTTTTTAAAGGAAGAAGGCCTTAGTCCAATTAATTATTATTATAGCCCATACTTTTATGAAGGATTTTTATCGTTGCAGTTGGCCTTAGATAAAGCATTTATTAGCTTAGACAATAACAATTCTAAATTAAACAATTATAATTTAGAAATTCAATCATATCCTCATGCAGAGTACACACGTGAATCAAAATTTGAACAATTATTTAAAATATTTCTTCCACTGTTCACAGTTTTAAGTTTCTTACTAATGTGTTCATATACAATTAAAAGAATTGTTGAAGAAAAAGATTCTGGTGTAAAAGAACTAATGAAAATGATGGGTCTTAAATCATGGATGATATGGACTGGATGGATATTACATAACTTCTTTGTCTATGCTATATCAATTACATTAATAACAAGTATTTGTTGTTTTAAAACATTTATTGTGAAAGGGCAGTTGTTAAATCACACTAATCCATTACTCTTCTGGATTTTTCTTGTGATGTATATGATTGCTGGGATTTTTTTTTCTTTTTCAATTAGTAGTGTCTTTAATCGTCCATTGGTTGCTTTAATTGCTGGGAGCATGTCATGGTGTCTATCTTATAGTTTACCAACTACTTTGTTAACATCAACTACACACATTCATATTAAAACATTTTTTATGTTATTTCCAAATTATGCAGTAACAAATGCATTTAATGTTATATCTTCACTGGAATCTCAAGGAATTGGTCTTCAATTTTCCACTTTATTCACTACTGGGAACAGCAATAATCATTTTTCTGTTGGTTTTATATTAATTATGTTCATAATTGATTGTTTTTTGTATGGATTCATTGCTTGGTACATAGACTTAGTAATGCCAGGAAAATATGGTATTGCAAAACCATTATATTTCTTTTGTAATTGGTTTCAAAATAAAACTGACGAAGATACAATTGAACGAATTAGTAAAAACAGTAATAAGCTTTATGAAAAACCACCTGAAGATTATGAAGTTGGAATTAGTGTCTTGAATTTATATAAACGTTTTGGAAATTTGTATGCAGTAAATGGAGTAAACTTAGATTTGTACAAAGGACAAATAACTGCTCTATTAGGTCAAAACGGTGCTGGTAAAACAACCACAATGTCTATCATTACAGGTATTTGAAGTTTAATTAAGATATTTAATAATTATAAAGCTCACCTATCTTTATACCTAGACTCATAAGTAATTTTATAGGGTTATTTTCACCTTCATTTGGTAGTGTGAAAGTTAATGGGAATGATTTGTTTAGTAATTTTGATCAATTCAGAGATAATCTTGGCTTTTGTCCTCAAAATAATTTACTTTTTCCTTACTTAACAACGCTTGATCATTTAATATTTTTTGGATTGGTTTGTATTATTTAAATATATTTATGTATACTAAACATATAAAATAGGTATATAACCTAATTATTCTTACACTTTTTTTAGCTCAAAGGGATGCTAGTATTAAAGGTAAGAGCAGAAGGTATATATTTGCTTAAACTTTTAAATTTATTACATAAGAAAGATGAATTAGTTAGTAATCTCTCTGGTGGAATGAAAAGGAAGTTATCTCTAGCAATTGCATTAGTTGGAAATCCTGAAGTAAGTAATTATGCCACTAATGGTATTACTATAATATCAAATTTTAATTGTTTAAGTTACACACTATAACTAATAATATTGATTTTTTACAGATTTTAATCTTAGATGAACCAACATCAGGAATGGATCCAGAATCACGAAGAGAAATTTGGGATTTACTCTTAGTAAGATTATTATTAGTTTTACATACCTTTTACTTTATATTTTACTTTTATGATTATTTATTTATTTATTTTATTAGAGTAATTAATATTAATCATGGGATAATACATTTTGTGACATGGGATGCTGGAATACTACAACATCCCATCTAGTTTGAAAATTTAATTTGTTTAATCACATTTTAAACAAAACATTATATAATAGATTACCGTAGATATAACAAATACATTTAATTATTATTTTTTGATGATAAAAACTTTTAAATACTTAAAACTTAAAACTTTTAAAATTTTAAATAAATGTATTTTTTGACTAGTCTTTCAGAGGATCAAGGACTATTTTAATTACAACTCATTTTATGGAGGAAGCTGATGTCCTTGGCGATAGAATCGCAATCATGGACCGTGGACAAGTTAAATGTTACGGCACATCTTTATTTTTAAAAAAAGTTTATGGTAAGTGATGATTAACTAAATTTAACTCATCCATTTAATTTAAAATAAAAACAATTTTAAAATAAACAGGAACTGGATATAATTTAACAATTTTAAAAGAAGAAATATTTGCTGAGACTAAAATTATAGCAGCTATAAAAGAAATTATACCAGAAGCAGATGTCCATAGTACTGTAATTGCTCAAATAGTCATTAATTTACCAAATGAAAATATTGATCGATTTCCTGATTTGTTTAAAATATTAGAAACGAATGGAAAAAAGTTTGGTATAAAAGGAATGGGTTTATCTTGTACAACAATAGAAGAAGTTTTTTTGAGGTTATTTATTGTTTTAGTATTTTATTAGTATTTACTAGTTTTTAATTTTACATTTATATAAATCGATCAGCTCTGCAATAGTTCCACGCTGATTATATAAACCTAAAGCACCTCTAGACCGCTGTTAAAACTTAACAATGGGCCAAATAGTATTTAATATTATTGGAAAAGCGTATATTCCAATGTATATACAGTTATATATATATATATATATATTATTATATGTATGTATGTATGTAAAATTATATAGAAATATCACCGAATATTAAATGGTATTTTTAAAGGATTTTCGATATGTAATCTCCATAAAATTGGGTTGTACCCTAACCAATACATGACTAGTTTTTAGCACTGACAACAATATAATATTTTCAATTTTGAATTTATTTAAATTTGTTCTCAATTTTAAATGTACTATCAGTGTTTGATTAGAAAATTTAAAGAATAGAGAATATAAAACTTATAAAGAAATTAGCGCCCCTTAAATTAGTAAACTTCAGGTAACCCGTGAATATCTTACCCCCTCCCCCATATTCCAATTTTAAACATAACTTAGCGCTTAATAATTATTGAATAAAAACCCTACTTAATAACAGTACTACAGACTAAATTGTGGCTAACATATTGTGGCCATACATTTATCTTATTAATATAAAGAGGCTTTTTTTTTCTTTTTTTACTATTTGTATAGAACTTTTCTACCAAATATTTTAACCCAATTATAAACTCTAGGGATGGTATAATTTTTAAAAACATCTTGTAATTTTTCAGTTATCAATTGAAATTTTCAGCTTAAGGTTTTATATGATTAAAATTGTTTTAACCCTAAGAAAATGGTGAAAAATTTAATAATAGTTTGTCATTATAATTAATCTTAGAAAAAAGTTTTTTTTGTATATAAGCACATAACGTGAACTTTAAACAAAATTTTAATTTTTATAAAAATGTAATAAAATGTTCTTTCCCGTATATTAATAATAAATAGTAGTGATACTCTACAATTTTTGAAATATAAGTTGTAGTACAGTTTTCCCTAATCAAGTCTTGTGTACTATTGAATATTGATAATGAATCATGTTTATCAAACTGAGTTATTTATAATAATTATGGTTATGATGACTATGTTCTTTATATTATATTGTAATTTATGTAGTTTTTTTTTTTATATATATTAGAGCTAAAAAGAATATACCTGACACTAATGATTTATCATCTATCAACACATCAGTATATGCAGGTAATTATTACCAAATGCTTATAACTAAGAACGTTAATTGTGACCAACTTAATACAACAATATGTGCCTGAATATTCATTGATGTCCATTATAGAAGATCAAATTATATATAGCCTACCAGTTGATAACAGAAATCAATTGGGTCCCCTGTATCCTGCTCTCAAATTTCAAAAACAAAGTTTTAAAATAGACACTATTAAAATAACTAATTAGTTATTTTATTATATTGTACCACCTACAGCATTAACATTCAAAATGTATTATTCTAATAATTATTATATCTTTAAATTATTTTATTTATTTTATAGCATTAATGCCTAAATATGTTAGTGGAATAAATTTGATCAAAAATCAGTTTAAAGTGTTGATGAAAAAAAAAATATTATACACATACAGAAGATTGCTTTTGACAACGGTTTTTGTAGGTTTTTATTGTTACCTATTTGTATAAAATAGTAAAAAAAATTAAATAACGTTGATAATTAATACTAATTGTATTTTTTTTCAGAGTGTTGGATCAATTTTATTAGTTTTATTTACAATACACCTAACTAATTACTTATTTAAAGCATCCGACCTTCCAAAAGGATTGAATTTATCATTAAGTACTTATATGGGTAGTACTGTATATTACCGTTCTGAAGATAATTCTTCATTTAATTTGGAAACCCAATTTGTGGATATTTCTAAAGCAAATTATGCAACTGTGAATGAAGTATCATCGAAAAAAAATATTTTTAATAGTAAGAAAAAAAAGAAAATATAATTTAAACTTAACAATAAATTTAAGTTTAAATTGTATACACCGAAATAGTTAGTACAACAAATTTGCTATATAATACAGAATTAGTTACCTTGCTTTACTTTACTTTATTTACCTAAATAAAATGATAATTGCACAACAATTGTGAATTTGTTAATTAATTAATTTTTTTTTATAGGTCTATTAGCGGTGTGTAATGAAGATACATTTAAGTACAGAAGAAATTGTATTGTAGCTGGTAACTTCAATAAGTTAAATTCAACTGTTATGTACAACAATATTATAGCTACCCATGCACCAGCTATAGCTATTAACCTTTATACGAATGCTCTTCTACATAAATTGTCTGGAAACAATGAAGCACATATTTCAACTATAAATGAACCAGTCCAACTTAAAAACATAGTATATAATAAAATTTAATAAAATTAGATTATTTTATTGCACTTAACACATAATTTATCATTATTATCATTATTACTACTATTTTTAGAATGAAATGTGTATTAATAGATATAATATTACATATATAGTAATTATTTGGCTTACTATTTTTACGCCGGGTCTACTCTATTTAATTGGACACTTCATGGCGTTACCACTAAATGAAAGAGTAAGTGGAATTAAACACTTACAAATGATGACTACACTTTCCCCAATTATGTATTGGTTTACATGTTTCCTTTGGGATTACTTTTGTTACATAATTGTAATTATATTATTATTGACTTCTATGTATATAAGTGATATTTATCATATATTCACTGGTGAAAATGAAATTAGTAAGTTTTAAATTATTTCAAAAATTATTTAGAAAATTTGCAAAACAAATGATATTTTTATAATTTTATTTAGTTGTTCTTATAATTTTACTACTTATATATGGCTGGAGTTCAATATTCTATGCATATGTATTTAGTTTTTTTAAAAAAGATCTAGTCACTTCAATGTTATTGTTCATATCAATCAATTTTACAATAGGTAATAATTTATTAAATAGTTACCCATTGCGTTAATAATAAATGTATTAAACATTATATCTGTTGACAGGAATGTTTATAAATAATATGTTGTATCTTATGAAAAATTTAATAAGACAGATGAATCAAAATAACCCTTATAATTTTTGGAATATAATGAAGCATATTGCTTTAATTATTCCCCATTTTTCATATTCATCATGTATAACAGGATTTATTGAAATAGCGTGGCATAATAACAAATGCAAAGTTTGTAAATCACCTGATATGCCAAAAATATGTCAAAGTTTGTACTTAATTTAAACACTTATTTTATGTTAATGTTAATAATATCAGTTGTTTAATGTAATACTATATATTTTTAAGATTCAGATAATTCTGAACCAAGAAACTATTTTGAATTTGAGTCCGATACAAATCCAGATGGTATTTTAAAACCAACGTTATGCCTTTTGTTTAGTGGATTACTGTATATAAGCATAATATTAATTCATGATTATAAAATATTTGCATGCTTATATCAAATGGCTATTAATTCAACTATTGGCACTAATATTAGCTATAAAGATGATAATGAAGATCCAGATGTTAGCTGTGAGCAAAAAAAAGTGGATGCTGCTAAAAATAAATTACGTAATTTCCATTGGAATGTTTAGTTATTTTACTTTAGTAATTATCTTAAATAATGTATTCATTCAAATTTTAGATAGTGAAAAATCACCCATTTTGGTCGTTGATGACTTGGTCAAAAAGTTTAGCTTTAAATTTTCTGGTGTTCGGGGTATAAGCTTTGCAGTAGATCCCGGTGAATGTTTTGGACTATTAGGTGTAAATGGAGCTGGTAAAACAACTATATTCCGAATTTTAACTGGAGACATATTCCCTTCCAAAGGTGATGCTTTCATTCAAACTGATAAATTATACAAACTTAGCTTTAACACGAAGAAGGTAAATAATAAAATAAAAATTGTAAATTTTACAATCTGATAAATTAATGTACAAATATAATTGTATAGTATGTTTCTATGATTGGCTATTGTCCTCAATTTAATGCAATAAACGATAAACTTACTGCAAGAGAAACTTTATACTTAATGGCTATTTTGAGAGGGGTATCACCTTTAAGTAGTAAAAATCATGTTGATAAATGGATTAAACTCTTGGGTAAGAATAATACAGTAATACCCTTGTTTACATTTTTAAAGATTAATTATTTTGTATTAAAAAATCACTGTTATTTTAGGTCTTGAAGAATATAAAGATAGACCTTGTGGAAAATATAGTGAAGGAAATAAAAGAAAATTAAGCATAGCAATAGCATTGATTGGAAATCCCCCAATCGTGTTTTTGGATGAACCTACCAGTGGAGTAGACCCAGTTGCTAGACGCAATCTATGGCAATTATTGGCTGCCAGCCAAAGAGGTGGACAAACCATTGTACTTACATCGCATAGGTTGTAACAATAAATAACTGACGATTTATCAGGTTTTAATTATTTGCTTTATCATAGTATGGATGAATGTGAAGCTCTTTGTAATCGTTTGACAATTATGGTGGACGGTGTAATGAAATGTATTGGCAATATACAATATTTGAAAAATCGTTATGCACAAGGTTTTACTGTAATGGTTAAACTACGGAATAGTGGTATTACCAAAATAGCTGATTTAAAAACTAATATAGAATTTCCGTTTGCTCCATACATAATTTTAAAGGACGAACATAAAGTAAGAAAAAGCTACTGTTGTGCTTTACTCAAAGCATCATTATAACTAAATATTTATTGTATGAATTATTTTACAAAATACAAAATTGAAAAACTGTATTAAATTAACTACACATTCAGATCATATTAAATCTTAACACATCAATTTTTAAACAATAATTAAATATGTAAAATGTATTCAAATTATCATATGTAAGTAAAAATATTAATTTTAGATTCAAAGCAGAGCGAAGTAAAACCAATATTAATTTGTTTTTTCTGTGAACTTTTTTACGAGCAATTTTGATCCGATTTTGAACAATATATTGTTGACAATTTCTTGTTTTTCCTACGGTTTTCCTATATTTTTCTCGGTTTTTCTCATTCATCAAGAAAATTAAAAAATTACCTCTTTAAAGTACCACCCCAGTCAGATTTCCTTTTGGAAAAAGTGCTATCATTATAAATCGAAGCAAAATTACTGGTAGAAAAAATGATTACAGGAAAAAAAATATAAACATCTTTGTAAAACCATAAGCTTCTTTGCTTCACACATAGTAAAACCAATATATACCGCCAAAGAAATATTCAAAACGACACGACTCTATACTTTTTAACACGATAACAACAAAAACTGGTACGGCACTGCTCACCCTACCGTACGCTAGAACCACCACTGGTTTTCATTTATTATTATTTAGTATACACTGCGATTCAACAATTATTGATTCCTGTTTATTTTGTTGATGGGTTCTGGTGTCGGCTTTGGTGTTACTAGCTTTGTAATACCAATTACTTGAGCAAGCCGGAACGGGAAAACACTCTTTGACATTTTAGTTTATTATCATCTTGATATTTGCTTATGGTTTGGCAACATTTGCGAGATTCCTTCTCTAAAACCAATGTCTCTACCAAAATTAATGGCAATTAATAGATTTCAATTGTAATATTTGTAGCAATATTTGCGCACTTTTCTGTATAAATCAAGGCACAACTGATAGGTACTTAATTTATAATATGCTTCTTTACTATAAAGGAATTATAATTGTATTTTCGTTGCAGGGATTATTACATTATCATATTACCAATCAACATATACAATTGTCGAATATATTCTGTCATATGAAAGCTATTAAAGACAATTACAATGCAGTTGAAGATTTCATTGTTGGTGACACAACACTTGAACAAGTATTCCTAGCATTTGCAAAAAGAAAGCAAGTTTCAAGCAAAAATGATTAAAATGTAAAATAAAGTTGTCATATTTTTTAATTTATTTTATAACATAGCTATTTGTACATTATATTGACAGTTCTTGATAATTAATATTATAGGAGAAATATTGTTTATTGAATTTAATATTAATATAGGAATTATTATGTTCCTATTATAATGCACTAATCACTATTTTACTTCTTAATAAAATAATATTAGAGCTAAGTAAAAAAAAATTACCACGTGCACTAGTACGTCGACCGCAGTATATTACACGATACGCCCAACTCCTATTTAACCTGTGTAGTTTTAAGGAAAATAGTCCGACCTCTTTGTAGCCTAAACTAATGGATTGATGTCTGATTTTTTATAAATGTACACGGGGTGATTAATCTGTTATGTACGAGTTATGTATGAGTAAATGATACTTTTGTAAATTTCAATGATTACCTATAACCTGAGTAGTGTGCAAAAGCATTAGCCATAGTCTTTACACGAAACGCTATTTTTTCAATAATTCAACAATATATATGTTGTTCGCGTTGTTACCACCTATTTGCGACGGTGACCTTTTGCGGCGAATAAAAAACAATTTAGTTTATTTACTTTATCGCTGTATTATTATATTTTAGTTTTCCAGCAATATTCATAGCTATACATCATATTATATTCATTCAATCCATAAAACAACAAAGATAATTTGTCCCCATCAGAGCTTGTGCTAAGAAATTTTTATATCAACCCATATTTTTTGGTTTTTTAATTTTATTTATTCATGTCGGTTAAAAAAAAAATTGTAACAAAAGAATATTATCATTGATTATAGAATAGTCTATTCTATTCTATAATCAATGGTAGTAACCTAACGGTAGAGAAACCGAAGCCGATGCAGGTACTATTTTGATTATATAGTTTAGTTGAATATTATACAGTTATATTAGAATATTATATAGTTATATTAGAATATTATGTAGTCATATTTTTTTTTTCGATTTCGCTCAATTATTAAAAAAAACTACACGGAACAACTTTCTAACTCGCCGATTAAATTAAAAATTTCGTAAAAAAAGTCTTTTGTCATTTTTTTATTAGAGGAATGTTTATAGTACAAAACATTAGTTGTAAAAGTTTTAAAAAACCTAACGTTGCGCAGTAATTTGAAAAAAAATCATATTTTTAATATATTTTTGTGTCTAAAAATGACTCTCTTTGATTATATTCAAATAAGAAGAGAATATTCAAATATTTTATTATTGTATCAATGCATGCTATAATGTACTATTATTTCATATGACATATATAATATACCTATTAATTTTTAAAATAAATAATTATAAATTATACGAGTATAAATCCAAATTTCTTTTTTCCAACTGTTCTTAATTTGAGATAAAAATAATATAATTTTAAGTTGATTTTCATATATTTTGTACCTTTTACATTTAAAATATTATCATTGAATGTATAATATATTCAACGGTGAAATATAGTGTAGGTACCTATTATATGGTACTATATAATATTATGTAGTACTAACCAATAATATTTAAAATAAATATATTGCTTTTTTTCCGAATCCCATTATGGACATAGATAATAAAGTCTTTATTATCTATAGTTATGGAATGTATTAATGGTTGATAACATTTATATTGATAAAATGAAAATTAAAAAAATAAAATAGTTTTAAAGTTAAATAGCCATCATGCCAATATAATACAAAATTCACGGTGTTTAGGTACTAACTAAATTGTTGAAATTATGACCACGTCTAGAAAAAGCAAATATGAGTTTTCTGTCCGAATTATAAGTCCATAGAGTCGATACGAATATTTTTAACTGAATCTCAACAAAAATATTCTGATTAAGCGATTAACGTAAAATGATTCTGAGCGCAGTTCAGTTGATAGTAATGCATTTTCAACAATATATATGTCATATTATAGTAAAATAATTAAATAGGTATTATATATTTTCTTTAATAATATTTGTTTAAAATTGTATCGGTTTTCCCATGTGTTTTCCCGGATTATCACATTTGCTAAGAAAACTCTTAGCAAAATCGAAAAATTACCTCCTTAAAATATTTTCCTAGTCAGATTTACTTTCAGAAAAAGTTTTGGGATGTTTTGAATTTAACAATATTTAAGATTTGTTTAATTTTCATAAAAAACTAACAACGTTTGTAAAAAAACAGAAAATTATTTGAGTTTTATTTCTTTGGCACTTGGTACGTTTCAACCAATATACCTGCAGTGACTTAATATATTCTAGCATTTTCCTAATATTTGAATTATTTTTTTTGTCTAAATTTAGAAGGAAATGTAATTTAATTTTTTATAAGGAGTGATAAGTATAAGCTATTAAAGAATCTTATATTTTTAATGACATATATTTTGTATAATTTTCTTCAGAATTCAAGAAGTAGTGAATAACTCAAAGTCAACTTTTTAGCACATAACACGCTATTGATTTAAAGTCCTCAATTATGATTCTGCTATCATAATTGACACAAATCAGTATCTCAAGTCTTCATTTAGTAGTATTATTAAACATTTTTTTTTTTTTTAAATAACAAAAAATAACAATTAATTTTAACACGTCAGGCACTCATTAACCAAACCACCTGGCTTTTTTACCAGATATTATTATTTCCTTAATATTTTTATGCTGCTTCCTTCCTATATACTGCCTCAATTTTTTGAAACTTATAAAAATAATTATTTTTTTCATCTATTGTAATGTAATACAGCTAAATAGTTTACTTAGCTATATTATATTCTATTTTCAATCACTTTTTGTATTCGTCTATAGATTCGGGCAAGTATTTGAAATAATTTAGTTAAAAATAATCCTATAACATTAACCACTGAATATTATAAATATGTACAGAGCGCAGTAAAACATATTATACTTCTGTATGAGTTTATGTTGACTGTTTAATAACTATAATAACCAATAAAAAAAAAAAGGAACGATTATTTTTTATTTTTATTATCACAGTGTCACCTTCAATCGTCAATAGATTTTTACTGATTGATTACAACGCTATGTGCCAGCTATAGAATTCACTGATACGCAGTATTTTTTTATTTAAAAAATATTTTTAATTTAAGTTATTTATTTACCTTAGAAAAAAATTATATTTAAATATAAAAACGAATATCATTAGGGTAGCTTTGCCGGTTGATATAAAAATGTAAACAAAAAAACAAAATTGTATTTAATTGTAATTGCTTTTTAAGTAAAGTAGTTCTCAGACTATATTAGTAGCGACACGTGAGTATTTTTTGTTATAATTTCAGGTTTTAAACATTATTTTATCCATTGTGCGTTTAAAATAATTGTTCCTAATTATAAAATACGACAATTATAATAATGGGATTTGATATGAATAAGAATAATTTAATTTTAACACAGTATAAAATAGGTATAACTAAAATTCCATTTAGTTATTTATTATGTTTTTTGAGTAATATATTATATATATTCGAGTGGGATTCTTACTTAGACCGTCCTGTTAGTCCACACTAATTTGTAATACGATTTTAAAATTTTGTATACATCAATTGTCAATTATACCAAATATTCAGAATATTTTGTTCGGTTCTTATCGTCTATAATAATAAAAGGAACTGTTTATATATATGTATGCTATTTATAGATGCAGAGGGGAAATAAAGTCCTTTGCTTTCTCTAAAACACTGTATTTTAGTAAGTATTCTTTTTTTGATTCATGATATAATATAATATACCAAATTTTATTGTCGTAAATGGTTTTGCGTCCCTCCAAAAAATTTAGGTCTGGATCTGCCACCGATGTGTATGATCCATAGCCGAATATACCGCACAAAGAAGTCTGAAAATTTACATACGAAATTGGATGATTGAACCTTGAAGTCGATTTTAATATTTTCGAAACAAAAATTAAATTATTTTTGTCGATCTGTGTTTTTTTACCTTTATGATTTTGTTACATAGATGAATTTTTAAAAAAAAAAAAAACAATTATTACCAAGGGAAAACGGGGAAATCTATAAAATGGAATTTCTTTTATTTATTCAATGTTCGAATGGATTTTTTGAAAATTCTGTTTTTAAATGTTCAACGTAAAAAACAAAAAACTTGTAGATGTGTCAGTACGCACGCTAAAAGTGAACACTTGTATGGGAATGGTTGTATTTAATAGTTTATGTAGTTGTCAAAACAACATTTCAATATTGTAGTGAATGTATAATATAGATCAGTGTCAATAGTAAAAAAAAGTATAAAAAATGCGTGGAATTACTGAAATAAATATTTTATTCGTATAAATTGAAGTTATTATATAATTAAACAAAACCAATAGTAACAATATATTAATATTAATATCAGTATCAAAAATAATTATAGTACCTATTTACAAGAGTTCAAATAATAATAATAATTCATGAGGAACATTAAAATATTTATAAGTTTAGGTAATTATAACAATTAAGATAACGTCACACCACCCGTTAGTAAACTCGTTTAAAAAAACCGTTTGTGGAGGACAACTCAACTTTTTCTGTATTTCTATTAAAGGTACCAACATGCTGTGTGATTATTTTTCTGTTAGCATTATCCTATAATATTTTGTAGGTAAATGAAAAATCTCCAAAAAAAAAAAAAAAAAATCAAATGTTTACAAACCAATCACGTTGATTGTATCAAAATAAAAAGCACGCTGTCACACAGATATAGCTTCTTCGCAATGTGTCCTTTAATTGTTGTACCTCTAATATAATAATATAAATACCTACAGAAAAAGTTGAGCTTATCCTGCGCAAAACAGTTTTACGCCTTAAAGATAATAATATTAGATGCTCGACATGTGCTGCGCTCATGCCAAGCGGTGGCGGTTTTCGGTACTACCACATCAATCACCACTCCATCAGGGCCGCGTGAATAAATGATGAGTGGGGAGGGAAGATGTGTTGTGAGTAAATCTGCTGACTTCAATGAATACAAAAATATGCAAACTTGTGAAAAATGTCATATTATACTCA